ATATTTAATGCTGGATCAGTCTCATGTTGTGCTATGAAGGTTTAATCTTAAAACATATCCTGGCGATAATAACAACGTTTAAATATTGTAACGCGCTTCACAGGCAGACATGAAAAGAATAAAGACAAACATACAATGCAGATACACGCACATGTTCACAGGTATCTACTGTATACTTACAAAAACCTGAATAAATCTGTCTCTAAAGTACCTACAAAAAGTAGATACAGTTTGGATCCAACAGGAAGTAAATCTTTCTTTCAACTCCTGTTGATTCTTTGAAGGCGGCTGAAAACTGTCTCTCTTTTACCGCAGTTCTTTGTCGAGCTCCCTGCTGCTGACCCCTGATCTCATCTACTTTTCTAAAGGTTTGACATTAAAATGGTTGCCTGTGTTCCACCCCTGGGGAGTAATGGGGAGAAATAATTACAAAAGGGATTTTTTGGTATTTCCTCAGTAAAAGTATTTACCAGAATGAATAATATTCATTTACAATATAGACCTTAGCAGAATAATCAGCATCTTTACATACATGCATTATTTACAGGTGAATTCCTGCAGGCAGAGACCAAAGCAATCAATCTTAGGGTAGCTGATCAGGCTACTTGGTAGATAAAAGATTAATGACTAATGACAGTAGAGCTGAAACCATGAAACAATTGTCTGAAAGATGCTTAAAGCTATGTGAAGGGAATTAGGAAGTTGGTATGTACTGTATCTCTCTACCTTCAATGTTAAGAAAGTAATCTCGTTGTACGGCAGCTCAACATATACATCATTTCCATCAACTTCTTCCAACTCTTTATTGAAATACATGTTTCCACTACAGCTCCATGAACTGAAAATATGTTGTACTTGTTTATGTCCTTTGGCCCGGAGCAAACAGCTGTACTCGGACACACTTGAATACACACCTCCAAACGGGTGTCTCTTGCACAACGCAGCTTCCACAATCTGGCTTTTTAAGAAAGGTTTTCCTATTGTTACATCTGTCTCTGTCTTTCTCTCCCTCCTTTAGATGCATAAATGTGCACAACACACCATGCACATGGTCTCTATGATAGCACTGTGAGGTGCATCCAGGTGTGCTTCTCAGCAGGCGGCGACTACGAGTCAGTGAGCAAGTTGGGTATCATCATGTTCCCTGCAGCTCCTCCACTGCTTCCTGCTCCTCCTGTCCTTCATCTCTCGGCATGCCATCCCTATCTGCTTCATTTGTTTTTACTATCTTTTTTTCAAGGAATCACCCAGCATTTTAAAGGCCATTTCTTCTTTCACTCTAACCTTGCAGTGTTGTGGTTATCTGTCTTTTCTGAGGTGTTAAACAGTCAGTCATGTCAGCGTGGAAGATCAAATCCTTCTTCTTCTTCACCTTACCACTCATACGTCTATGACTTGAATCATCCAGCGTCTTCTCTGGAAGGAAAGCAGAGATCTTTAAGCTGAAGAAAGGAAGGTGTTTTGTTGGCGACACCTATGCTCCTGCCTGGCCCTCTTTTGTTTCTGTCCGCGACTGTGTTCCTTTTAGGGTCGGAATATTTTTGAGGCGTCCCATGGTGCTGGAGGAGGCCAGTGACCCACTGTGTTTACCTTGGCTCTTTGAGGCACCGACACACAAGAGCGTACTGATGGGTCAGTCATTGCAGTGACACTCGACGGGATTAGACAAAGACAGAAACAAGCAGTTTATTGTTGTCACACCTGCAGGAGAACACGTACCAATACAAGCAAAAATACGTTGTAACAAAACTACAATCCTTTGGCAACTTGAGCTTTTTCCCACTATCTCCTTCTCCACTTCACTTCAATTCACTACACTTACCTTTGGGGGGAATTAACCCCCGGCATGTTGTCTTTCAAGCTAGCTAAGGTAAACAATATGTCTTTCACTTGAAGATTTCTAAATTTTCCTTAATATTGTTTTGTATTGCACAGACTCTATTTTAGTGCAGAATAGGTGAGTTGTTCGGAATCACACTCATTGGAAACTGCAACGGTCCGGGTTTCCCAGACTGGAAGCACCGTTGGGCTGTCTGGCAAAGAGTACTTGGGGCATTGGATAGACCAGCGGTTCCCAAACTCACGCACTGTCGTTTTTTGAGGAAATTAAAGCCTTTTAAGTGCGCCTTTTAATGCAGAAAATGCGGTATATTAACTTTTGTTGAACACAACGACAGGTAATGACAAGAGCAACCGTTTCAAGCGAGAGCCTTATTGTTTTATTAATCTGTCCGTTTAAATTGTTTGTGCTTCATCAACTAATGTTTCACATGTGAGACCGATTGCGCTCGCTTTGCGTACTCTGACAGATGCAGAAAAGAAGTATGCATGAATAGAAAAAGAGGCGCTAGCAATTATCTATGGAGTGAGAAAATTATCTATATGGACGCAAATGTATTCTCTTCACCGATCACAAGCCCTTACTGGCTACTGGGACCAAAGTCAGCAGTGCCTACATTGGCAGCCATTGCTACCCTGATGTCTTACCGTTGCCATGTGTGTGTCCAGACTTCCTGTGACTGAGTCAGACAAGACAGCACAGGAATCCAACATAAGATCTGCCAATATCAGCTCATGACATCAAAGTAGGCACAGGCAGAGATCCGTTGCTGAGTGAAGTTTGGAGCATTACCATGAATGGATGGCCTGCTGACATGAATGATGAAGAGGAGAGGTCGTGTCTTATGACCCAGTTCGCCTCCTCAGAGTTCAAGCTGTTTCTATCAAAAAATGAAATAAAACAAACGCTGGTCCCACCGTATCATTCAGCTTCGAACGGAGCTGCTGAGAGGTGTGTGCAAATATTGAGGCGCGCTCTGGTGAAGTCAGCACAGCATCACACTGCAACACAGGCTGTCAAACTTTCTGCTCATGTATCGGGTTCACGCCTCACTCAGTCACAGGTCGCTCTCCAGCTGAGCTGTTCTTAAAGCGAAAGAGATACGCACCCGCTTCAGTCGGTTGAGACCAGACCCGTCCCACACTGTAGGCAAAACAGAAACCGTATCATGATAAAGAGAGAGTTTCATGGGAATGACCCAAGTCAGAGTAAGGACTGCCGCTACAGTCGTGAAGCGCTTGGATCCTGTGACATGGGAAGGAGGGAGGCAACGGTCCGTCCATGTTAATCATATGCTGGGGAAAAAAGAGGAGAACTCAAGAAACTGGAGCCGTACACACATTTTGAGGACCAGGACTTAACATTAGTTGCTCCACCTCCACCAGTGGAGAAAAACCGCCTGACACCAGCACCTCAGAGAAGTAGCATTCATCTGAGTCCTGCAGTGCCAGGAAATCTTATTCCTCCTCCACCCAGCAGTGTACCGTCAGGGGTGCCCCAAAGGAGAAATCCAGAAAAGACTGGATTTGTATTTCAAATGAGGGGTCTTCTGGACATTAAAAACAGTAATGTCCAGAAGACCTAGTAAGTTTAAGAGAATGATTGTTAGTGTAGACGTGTGTCAAATGTGAAGGGGAGAAATGTAATAGACCGGGTTTCTCATGTTGAGTAACAGTAATGTGATTGGTTCTAGAAGTTACATGACTAAAGAGTAAGCTAGTCAGTTCCGGAGCAGGAGACTTGTGTGTAGGCTGGTGTATTCTTGCAGTCTTCGGTAAGCGTGCTCAGTCATACCTGAAGTGCTTAATATACACCCACGGAGATATCACAGAAACCATCCTGGTAATGCATCTCTGCTGCACGCCTCCCTCTCTGACTCTCCCCTAACATAAACCAACAACCGGCCTCCCTGTTGAGGATTTTCCTCACCGTCTATCCTTGCGAGGGAACTTGGCCTTCTTACCAGCAGAAGTGTAAGAACACGCACACATCCAGACGCACCCCCCCCGCCCCCCCTAGTGAGAACTCCTACAAAACGCCTGTCATCCTTATTCCGTCATGCGAACGCGGGGAGTCAGCACAAGGCGATGGATGAATTTAGTACAGGAAAGCTGTGGCATTCTTCGAATGTAATGGGCTTTGATGTAGACGCTGAGCTGCATTACAGAGGGCCCCGCTGAAGCCAACTGAAGCCTCTTTTCATCTGCCTGCTTCCCATGCAGAGGAAAGAAGCTGGCAGGAAACGTTCCTCACTTCTGCCACGCTGTGTTTTTTTCTGTGTGGGTCTGTCTTCCCGTGCATTAGAGGAGCGCACGCCCTCTTTTACTTTCACTCATTTCTGTTCCTTTCAGCTTGCATGGGGAAATAGCTACTTCCTCCCAGCTTGTTCCGTGTGGGTGGTTCTCTCTGTCAGCCAAAAATCTTGCTCTGTGCCCCATTGGTGACACTAATGTGATCATTCTGAGCCTTTTTGTTTTGAAAAATAAGCCATACTCTTGTGAGATGTCTTGTTTATACAGTGTGATTCCATCTGTGTGACACCACGCTATTCCTCCACAGTTGTAGAGTGCCCCCTTGTGGACGGTTAATTCGTAGCATGCGAATTCAGTGTGCTGTTTTTCTCTACGGATCTTATTGACATTGCTTTGATTGTGTTGTTGTTATTCACGACAACATATTATATCCTGATTCCTGATTCCTGATTCCTGATCCTGATTCCTGATGACCAAATGACAAGTCTGCGTCCACATGTGGCACATGAGGGATCATCACAAAGAGCATGCTTTCCAAATACGTACGTTTCTTTAAATCAGTTTTAATATAATCACTATTTGCTGGGAAAATACCCATACTATCAATTTTATTTTCAACATCTAATTGAGGAAGTGAGTAACTTCAAGGTTTCTTTCACTCTGCTGGAGTTGCAGCACTTTTTTTTTTTTACTGTTCTCGCAGTAATTATAACAGTTTCAATGGTTCTCGCTATCAGCATCTGAGACACGTTCCCCGTCCATCAACCCTCCTTTGACAATTTCCGTAGGGCGGTAAATTGCAATAGATCCCCCCCCCCCCGCTTACAGTAGCTGGAAAAGCCTCCTTAACAACCGAAGAATCGGTCGCATGAGGTTCAACGGGAACACAATAAGGATAAAGCAGAATGTGTGTTTGAAAAGCTTTATTCATAATAACATTTAGAAAGTCATCCAGGGGACAAGTGAATAAACATGAACCGGTCAAGAGATCTCAATGCCCTTGGCTTTGAGGTGGAGGATTAAATACAAATGAATCAGATAGAAACTGCTTCACTTTCAGGGTGTTTAAATAGTGATTTGAGCGCAGACTGAAGGTAGCAACAACTCGTGTCTCTACTTCCTACCGTCTACTGAGGTTGACATTGTTTCAGCTGTGTTCAAGGGCATTTTCTGATCGCCCAATTATACGGGAGGACATTGAATGTCACATTAGTTTTAAAAACGTTGCATGACAGTCAGACATTTCATTGGCCAATGGTTGGATCAAAACCCTGTGGTATACAATCATTTATTTCTCAAATGGATTTTGCATTTCATCGTGGTATAAGAAATTGCACATTGGCGCAGGGATCAGTTTGAAGCTAAGTAAGACAAATATGAAACCAATCTCTGTGGCCCACGTACATCCCCATTCCCCGTTCAATGGAGGGCGGCATCAATGATAACCAAAACGAGACGTGGTTTGATAAAGAGAGAGAGCACCAAAATGATTTCACCGGGCAAAAGATTCCCTCTATAGAGATGTTCAACAGGAGGCGTGGAAGCCCCTCAACAACCCCCCCGTGATGAGTCATTCAGCACCATTCTATAAGAATCACAATCCCTTTTTATTTGTGAGTGAGCTATAATCATGTCATGTAGCAGCAAGAAACTGACCTTAATTGATGGTGTCATTAATGAAATCAACCAAACTAGCTTTGGAGCCATGTTGTGATAACTGGCACATTTAAGTCTTTGATGCCGATTTCAATCACGGATGACTTCATTTACAGCATGTTAGCTAAACCTGATTAACCGATCTTAGAGGGTGGTGAAGAAGATGGCTTATTTGCCCTCAAGTAGATTGTAAATTCCCGGGTCAGTGTTCAGTGGGTTGTCTGTCACCCATCCTACAATGCTGCCATCAGCCCATCCATTGGCTGGCCCGTTATGGGACATTTTTTTGTGCGTAAAGAAGTCTCAAGTTTAACCCTTTTATTCGAAACAATATCATGCTGTTCCGTATCACACAAACTGCATCTATTAGGGTGTTTGCTGGACTACTTCTGACTGTTTCAAGTCATATGCTGGCCGTGAGAAATGGTAGTTTAATGTCCACTATACAGAAGGCATGAGGGCCAAAGACCAATGTCAGATTCCATGACGAACATAAATGCAGTGCCTGTTTAACTTACTATTCCTTGAAAACACACAACATAGAAATATTGATGGCACATTTAAGTAAAAAAAAAAAAAAAACGTTTTATGTTTCACCCAGTTTGTATATGTTCGGAAATTAACTATACGTAACATTGCAGCTTCAACATTCCATGGAATGTAGCACTATTATCAACAAATATCAATGGCAAAGATAAGAGGGGAAAAAAGTGCGTCACAGATGTGGTGTAGAAAACGCTAAGACTGGAGTTGGCCCAGGCACTCAAAAGGGTCCGCGACCGGCGGCACAGGGGCCGGACAGACGCGTGGGGGCCCGACGCAGGTGATGCGACCTACGCAGACGCCCCGCAGGCCGACGCGAGCTAAATTACACCACTCGCCTCATGATGTTTTAAACATAGTAATTCTCTTATGGAGATGGCAATAGAGCAAAAGAGAACGACTCTTCATCTACAGCCGACTGCGTCCATCGCCTCGCATCATCACACGGGTTTTGTGTTGTAAAACCGAGGCGGTCTCGTCATTGTCGTGGGTTCACTTTACGTCAAAAGATGACAAACAGCGTCAACAGCCGGTCATTCATTTAAAAAAAAAAAAAAGGTACTCCAGTTGCAGCCATTCTGTGTTAAAATAAAAATGATTATTGCAATATTTTATACTAAATAGAGACCAGGAGTCCCTCGAAGCCTTCGATCCTGTGATGTGCATCGTCCTGAAAAAAACCTCGACCAATTGTGTGCGCTATTGTTTCGTCTCACTCCAAACAAAGCTCCGATCATGCAAAGAGTTGGTCGAGGCAACACACGGCGGTGCAGCACACCGTACTAGCTTGGCTGATGCCGCACGTTAGAATTGGAGAAACAACAGTGACGCCTGCTGCCTGTTTTCAGCAGTACCATTTAAGCCGATTCACTTGATCCCACGAATAACAATTTGTTTGACCTACCAAATGAGTATCTCTGCTCAACCCTGTGGTGTGTATCAAAGTGTATCAAGAAAGAACTCTGAACCCTTGAATTCCTCGGGAAAGAAAACAGTGAGAAAGAGAAGACATGCAAACAGCAAAAAAAAACAACTCTGCACAACTGCACTGTGTTTTGTAATAGAATCCCTCCCTCTGCTATAGACCCTTTTACAGCAGTCTTCATCAGGAGAATGCTCGCGCATATTTGCGACGGAAATGGCTCTGTGGTGTGGATGCATTCAGTGGTTTCCACGGACTCTCACGTTGTCACAATACCACGGAGCTGTGTGGCCTAGCTCTGAGAGAAGTACTCCAGGACGAGGCGAAGGTGTCCCAAGCGGTCTTTGAGCGAGCTCAGGGACAGGACAGTGGTTTGATAGGCAGGGTCCAGCTGGAGGACAGACAGCATCCACCAGCACCAGGCCGGACCGTTGGACGAGGCCTAGAGGGAAGTAAGCCACTGGTTAGAAAAGGAAACGTGTTTAACGGGGAAACTCGTCAGAACTTCAGCCTTTTGGGTGAAATCTGAGCCACGTGGCAACGGGCTGCGAGTCACTAATGGAAGTCGTTGACATGGAGCCACAGATTGTTGCTGTGTGACGCACGCAACCAGATTCAAGGATGTTGTCAAGTCAAGTGGATGCTTTTTGCTGTTTATTTCACTGCACTGCAACCTTTATTCTAATTTAGCTAGTCTATTGTTTTAATGTTTCAATCAAGGCTCTTGATTGTGTTTAAATTTTCCTTTCCTTTATTTTTATGTTTTAATGGTTTTACGTGAAGCACTTTAAATCACTTTATTTTTTTAATCTGCTATACAATTTAACTTGCCTTGTATTTCAAAATAAGTTGAGCTGGTTCCAACTTTTTTCACGCTCCGATGACGCAAAGAAGCGTCTGCCGTTTTTTACATTTACATTTTACATTTCATTAACCAGGGAATTTGGAACGGTGTAGGGGCAAATACAATATATATTAAGTAGAAATGGGAGAAAGAATTATAGGAAAAAACACCCAATCAGAGATGGGAACCAATGTGTGAAACAGCATTTTCGACCTCCTGTTCCATGTAGTGGGGTGAATTTGGCTGGAAGAACCTTGTTTGTTCCTTTATCTCACCAAAAAAAAAGACATACTCATCTACAATAAACCAAACGTGCTGGAGAAGATGTGGGGGAAAAAGAGCAAACCACCACCATATATTTTGGGGCTGGCCCAAGATATTAATAATAGTATAATAATATATTATAATATTCTGGGAAAATATTTAGAGAACTAAGCAGCATATCTGTGGGCGGCAGAACTTGTACTTTTGTACAATTTACCAGAAGCAACAACAGGAAATGACATATAACTCTTGAAAATACTAATAGTTGCAACCTTCTGTAGAAAACTGGACTGAAATCATGAAAGAAATCCACGACATGGAAAAATTGACTTTCCTTCTGAAAAAGTGGGCAAGGTTCATCCAATATATGGAAAAACAAGATTTTGTCTGCAAGAGCTGTTCAATATCTTTAAAAGTAAAACAATCACACTTAACCAAGATGCGACCCTTTGCTTATGATCCTAAACCACAGGTGATCCAACCAAGACTTAGAAATGTTCTGTCCAGAACAGCAGAATAAAATACCCACTATCTGTCAGTTGCATGAAATATACGGCCTGACATTGTTTTTATAAGTGTATATGTATGTTTTTTCCTGTTGTAATACCTATGTAGGCTAGTTTTTTGTTTGTTTTTTTCCCTGTCAAGTATTGTTTTCCATTGATAAAAAATACCCTTATAAAAATTATCCAAACAAAAGTTGAATTGCAGAATTACCGTAAAAAAAAAAACCACACTTATTTTAAAGCCCCAACCTGAATGTTTTCATCCTTTTCGGGCATGTTGCCGTACTGTCTGTTGATCTGCTCGCGAATGCGGCTGCCAAGCCGCTGGTACCAGTCCTGTGCCTGCTGGTACACACTGTCATGGAGATGCTCCAGAAGCTCCAACTCACTACCATCAACCTGCACGAGAGAGGACGCATAGACCGATATGAATGCAAAAAAAGGTCAAGAGACAGGAGCTGCAGCTTGTGGTCTTCTTCTTGTGTTCATCCTGGAATGCTGCTGTAAAAGGTGCTGCTGACCTTGAGGTCTTCCAGGTACTCGATATCAGCAGTGTGGTAGCCGTCTCGCTGACTTCTCTTCAGCACTTTGAATCTGCTGCCGCCCACTGCGTCCACAAAGGACCGGCCGTCAGCCAGCAGCTCCAGACTGTGGATTTCTAGCATGCACCCGTAGTCTGCAAACCTGGGGCAGAACCAAGAGAGTCTTAACTCCACAGTACCGTCATTTATTCATTCTCGTGTTTATTAAGGTGTTTGTTCATGTTTTAGTCAAAACAGTAATTGGGTGGAATGTTTAAATATCCATCTTACTGCAAAAACAGTTGAACAAAATCATGATCATTTTGGGCCAAAATGGATTCAGACATGATATATGACGCACCCTTTTTAGACATCTACGGTATAAAAGAATAGAATGATGTACATTTTGTCGAGTTATTTGCAAAATTCTTACACAAACATGATTTCTTATTTTTTTAGACAGTTTATTTAGTTTATATAACCTGAATTGATCAAAGATAGATACAACTGCCTGCAAATTACTAAGGCGATTAATCCCTCCAACACCAAACAATGACTGTGGGCTGTGCCGTTTTTATCCTTTTAGTCTTTTACTGCATTTGGAATGTGCTTCTCACGAGGAGTTTTTACCTTACTTTGGCCTCATTCCTGTTTACCACGTTCTCTGTGTTGTGCACAAACTCGACAGTTTACAAAGCTGGAGTAGAGATGGATGCCCAAAAGAAAAGCCCACATTTCTGGTCGAAAAGATTAACTAGAATGTGCACTGCTGCATCTAAATGGGATATTAGTAGTATATTAGTTTTCATTAACCATATAAACAGCTTTTGGGGAATGTTGTCATTTTTGGAATGAGGGTAGAATCAGGGATTTTTTGCTGAATGTTAACATGGTTAATAAAGCAGGGCTTTGTGCACTTTGAAAGGCTATGAGAAGTACTCGTTGTGGTAGAAGATCAGCAAAGTGTTGTATTCCCTCAATTCATGTTAAAGAGGCAGGAGGAACTAATCTCACAAGAACTACTGAAATATAGTAAGAGTCATTCTTTCAGTCCAAATGTTTAGATAAAAATAACTCAACTTCCATATGGAATACAAAGAGTTTCAGCAACAAAACACCCTCATACATTATTATTTTGCATATTTCAATATCAGTTAAGCTAAGAGGATATTTGTCAGAAAATGCACTGCCGTATTACAACATACGTACAGTGGAACTATGATCAAATCTCTGGAGGGTCATGAAAACATCCAGCCTATCTCAGCCCAGATTGGTCACGAGCTGCTATTTGCCACCCACTCAGGGTCACCTATGACTGAGCTTTACTTTGCCCATTGGGCTGTCTGCTTCTGCTAGCCTTGCTGACCATTGCATCGGGTTCCACCGAGCCTGCTGCGAGCTTCACAGCGAGGAACACGTCAAACACGTGCTCTCCATTCCCCGACAGTTGTGAGCTTGCTCTTGTCGTTGAGTTGGTTACATTGATTTGATATGTGCATTGTCCATTCATGTATCTGCAGTTAGCGTATTTGTAGGTGTTGAGCTTCATGTTACAGTTTTATATAGGAGGTGTTTGATGATAACCTGTAACTGTGGGGTCATGAGGAGGTTCTTGGGTTATTCACCCATAGTAACATGTCAGAAGGCCCAGGTAGAAGATGCACAGGCCGCCTCTGATTTTGATTTGCAGTTAACACTTGTACATTATCAACCCAAGTCCCAATATTTTCAAATAAATAGGTTGCCATGGATAATCAAAACAAAAAAAGTAGATAGCATACCCTTTGCCATGCTCATAGCAGCACATGCCAAATTTTTTGGTGCCAGTCTCCATGCAGCGGCGCATCATCAGACGATATCGAGGCTCAAAGATGTGCAGGGGACACGGGACTCCGGGGTAGGCCACCGTGCAAACAAATATAGGGATGTCCGTAGTCAGACTACAAAAGGAGGAGACAAAACATAAAAATAAACGGAGGGATAGAACAGTGAGGAAAAGGCGCGATATAAGTTGTACAAATCAATCACAAGCGTCGACCGATGACAGGTGCGTACTTGGACAGTTCCGCCATCTCCGCGTCATGGACCTGCTTCCTCTCCGCCAACGGCGAGGGGAAAAGTCGGGTCATGATGTCCTGCAGCAGAACTGTGGGGTTGTACTTCCTGTTTTTAAAGTACTGGCAAGAGAAGAGGGAAATACGGCTTAATAGCAACATTATGATGCTCAAGAGCACGGCTGCTCGGGGGGAAGGGTTCTTTAGAAGTTGATTTTGATAAAAGTACCATAAAATATGTGCAGATCTGTGATATCAAAGGAACGTTGTTGACCAATTTATGTAACAGACTTAAGAAACATAAACTGATCACTTTTTAAGCAATTATGCATTAACATTTGTTGAAGTTGTCACTTCTAAAATGCATTTCTTGACAACATATATTTATTAGTTAAACAAGTTTTAAGTTCTAAAGTGAGCCTGTTGTCAGCCGCATATGCCAGGAGATAAATGCATAAACACAGCTGTTACGACAGCGAGGTTTATTATAGGTGTAATCAGACATCACATGAAAGGAACCAGGAACTTCTCTCAACCTTAACCTTCATGTGAATTATCTGATTAGTTATATAAAAATCAAGTATGACTATTGGAAAAGATCTTACCCCGCTGGAGCTGGATTTGTGTCATTGCCACAACACAAAAGGCAAAATCAAAACTTTTTAAAAAGTGCTCTAAACGGGATCGGGGCAAGTTAGAAACAGGTGCATGTGTGCGAGTGTCTGTAGGTGGTTACTTCCTGTAGCGGCTGTTTGCAGAGCGGACAGCGCAGGTTGTGGTCCAGACTCCTCTCGATGCAGTTCTTGCAGAAGGTGTGACCGCAGGGAGTCGTGACCGGCTCAAAGAACAACCTTCAGACGACAGACACAGGACGTTAACGCGGCCTCGGGGAAGGACCTCCACGCCTTCTGCTGTGCATCTGCCGTCCGCTTGTGCGGCGTGGCGTCAGCTTGATTAAACATTAACCAACCATCAAACTGATATACGACACTCCGGCAGAAGACGTAAGGACCAGAAAAGCATTACTGATTAGAGATTACAATGCTGCGGGGCACCGACCTAATGCAGAGAGGGCACTCAAAGTCCGACACGCTGAGAACTTCCAGAGTTTCTTGATGGTTTCGCCCTGCTGAGAAAGAACCAGCAATTATTATGCATTTCCAAGCCATCTGGTGGGTGTTTGTGGTAAAGCTGTTCGTAGCGACAGTGACAGAGAGGATTCAGATTGAGGAAAGTTTTTTTTAAATAAAATTGTTGTCCGCACTGGTGTGTGCGCGTGCGTACCCGTGCCGTGCCCATCGCCCCTCCTCATTGTCATCTCCTCGTCCTCTTCGGCCGCGGGGAGGAAGGAAACCGCTTGGCAGAGGCTGAGGCAGCACTCGGTACCCATGTCCTGCTTCACCGAGGAGCCCGAAAGACAAACTTATGGTTGATTATGGTTGCATTGGAAAACCTCGTGCCCGAACCATAACGCTGAAGCGCGCGCGAGGGCTCACCTGGTGTGCCGCTCGCCCCTCTTTTCCCTCTACGCCTTCCCCGCGTGGATGTTTGAGGCCCTTGGGTTGAGATGGCCCCTGGGAGCCACTCAGGCTGGTAATGGGGCACGGCCCTCTCAAGTACTCGGACACCACTTGCAAGATGCAGGACACCTCGTCCGGCACGGCCATGCCCTCCACCTCCAGAATCTGCCATTTGAATTCATGACAAGATGCAAATACAAAGGGATTTTGGAATGAAGGTGTAAGGTCAATGAGGAGGTAAACATTGGAGATTAAACTTATTTATAATAGCAATGAGGTATTAGTTGAATGACATACCCGTCCCAGTTAAAACACGTTATCTAAAGTTAATTAATACCAATACTACTATCACAATAAGAAGAAGAAATTACTATATTAGTATTAATATTAAAAGACATTTAGTAAGAACAATAACCACCGACAAACATAAAGTGACCTATATAAAATCAATCAGACAATAGTGCTACCATTCATATTTCATCTACTCAGGCTCGTTGTTTATGGAATAGAGTTTATTGATCAACTCATATATGTGTACATGATATGTGCAGGTCTGATACCACTGCTGTGAGGCGATTCATTTCTGCTGCAGCTTTAACTCTAAAAGGTATAAAGTATCCCGGATAAACTACAGTCAGTCTTGTCAGTTTGCAGGAGAAATGTTCTTATTTATGTTTTTTTTAAATCAATTTAACACGAATAATACCCTCAGACAAACCTTCTTGATCTGGCTCTTTGCAGGTGCAAAGTCAGCTTGAAGTTTTAGGCAACGGTGGAACTGGATGAGGGCGTCTGTCTGCTGACCAATTTCCAGCAGTACACTCCCTTTACGGAAGAAGCCCTGCAACAATGGAGAGCGTCAGCACATCAACGCCGTTACGGGTGAGCCAACCTGCACTCGGACAACATAACAGAACTATCTGAACTGCATTGTAGTATTCTAACGCTTTTCATATTTGTACCTTTGAATAACATAATGTGAATGTGAAATCTGTAAGTAATCCTGTAACACATCTCTTGAACAAAAATAATTATATTCAAACTATTCTATCCAGTAGGTATTTTTGAAATTACACAGCGCCACCCACCAGCTAAATGGCGTAACAAAATAAGTAGCTGTTTGCATAACTTTGCAAACGACATAACACCAGTACAAGCAGAGAAAATGTCTCCAAAGCCTCAGCTCTGCACACTGACACAAGGTGCCTGCTGTTCGCACGCATGTCACAAAACCGACCGGCGGAGTTCAGGGTTCAAATCGGCAGAGAAACAGAAGGGGGAACTGAAGTGAACATTTGGCGCCCTTAACAGACGACTTTAACCGATTGGTTTGTGTTGACCTCTGCCAATATCTCTCACCTCAGTCCAGTTAGGACGAAGGCAGCAGAGGTCGTCGAGGTCCATCAGAGCGTCGGAAAAACGCATCAGGCCCCCGTTAGCTTCGGCTCTATACAGCTTCAAACTCTGATCGTTAGGGGCTAAAGACACAAAAGAAATGAAGGGCGGAGAGGAGAGTAAGAACAAGAGAAAAGGCAGGAGATACAATCCACACGTTATTGGCAGGAGGGTGGGCTTTAATGCTTCAAATCTGTTTACACGCCTGTTGACACAAAATCGGCATGGCAGGCAGGGGGCCGCCTGCGCACTGTGGCTCTGCTCAGACAATGCACAGCAGGGCGGTGCTGTACTTTAACACAACTGCGACACCAACAATTAGCGTTAGGTAAAGTTGTATTAACAATGCTGCCCTGACATTCTTACACAAGAACAAAGGCAAGCTAGGGGAGCAGCAGTGTTACCTGTAGGTAATTCCTCAAGGCGATTCACTGTCCCGCTAAAACAACTCCCACAATCCCCTGGACACCTAGTGACCAGATAAAACTCAACTAGGCACCTTGTGTATTAGCCTTCTCACTGCTGCATGGAGAAAATAAGGCCAGTTGCACATACACAGGGTGCAAAGATAAGGTATTGGAGAAGATCTGTTTGCAAGGGTGTTTCGTCTTTTGACTGCAGGAGTCGGTTTTGGCGTTTTTTGCTGTGTTGCCCTAAAAGATTCAGCGTGCCCTGAAGACAGTTTAGCGAAGCGAGTTATATAGTCAGGTCATCGATGGCCTTGGACAGGGAATATGGTGAGTCCCACATCTGCACTGGCTGCTGCGCACGCTGTGACTGAGTTCTAGGGAGCAGATGAGGACGCGCCATCAGCCACCGTTGCCGGGGCAACGGCCCAAACGGTTCGAGCGGTGCGTAAAAGTGGGACACCAGACTGCCTGCCCCGTTTTTATGGAAATGTGACCTTAGGTAATCCAAGCTGCCTCCCACACACCCGCACACGCACCTTTTAGCCCCGGATCTTGCTTGACCGCTCCTCATAAACAAGCGTCTAGTGACGTCATGAAGGTGATTCCTTACCTAAGTGCAGCCCCTCGTTTGCGATGCGTAAAGCTTCCGGGAACTCGTTGGCTTTGAGCTTCTCCTGTAAATGGCACTTGGTCTTTGTCTCCTCCGGGCAGCACTTCTCCACGATGCCGATGAGCAAAACGTTGTTCTTCATGCTTTTTACCTCTTTTTGTTTGAACCTCTCTTTGCACGACGGGCATTTGGACGGGAGGTAGCCCCCCGCGCACCTCCTGCAGAACGTGTGTCCGCAGGACATGGTCACCGGCTCGCACATCAGGAAGAGACAGAGGGGACACTCCAGCAGATCCATGGTGGATGGGTTATGTCACCAGAAGAAGAAGGAAAGAAAAAAAAAACGTCCCACGAGGGCAAGTGTGTGTGTGTGTGTTTTCGTCAAAGCAATGCGGACGGAGAACGCGAGTGTGTGTTAGAGCATTGCGTGGACCATTGACATAACACACTGACAGCCAGAGCGATAAAGTAAATGGGTCTTTTCCCATCAGCTCGAAGCCGACCGGTTTTTTGTTTTTTTTTCCTGCTAAATTTGAGCAATTGTCCTCACCTTAATAATTTCCTTTGCAGATAAAAAAAATAGTATCCATTGACACTGTCCAATTCCAACTTCGTCTTCGGTTTGGGACACCTAACGTCCTCCCCTTTGACGCACGGCGAGAATAAAACGGAACTCAGCTTTCGATTCAACGCGCGGCTCTGATCTCGATAAAGGCCACACGAACCACACCGGAATATTCCCCCATTGGCACTGTTCCTTGAAGTCGTTTTAACCCCCGTTTCGACGTATCCACGGCCACAAAGGTGGGTTACTGTGTAACACCATTACGTTACATAAATAAAGACCACGTGACGCAGCAGCGCGCAATCCCATTGGCCGAACGGATGGCTTTCCGCCCTGTTGTGAAAGCGAAGGATGGCGAGTTTCGTAACATAATTTCTGCGACTAAAGTTTCATGCTATGGAGTGCAAACATCTGATATGTGGGACGAACGAGTCGTTGGGCTTATGCCTCGTGCAGTGGGCAGGACAAAAGAGTCCACTCACGGCTGCACAATATGGAAATGTCGCTGTCGCGGTAAAAGGGAATCCCAGCCGGGGATAACAACAGTCGGGGGAGGGGGGCGGGGCTGCAAGATCTTAACGTGCACCCAGTTGTTTTACTTACATATCCGGGAAAAAGCCACGTGCAAACATGTCCAAATTGTGTAATGCGCCTTCGTGTAGGTGCAAACTGCATGAGTGGGCTAAGTTTGAGTTACACAAGTCGGTTTGCGTCAGTCGGAATCTGTCTCATGGAAGTCAGTGAGGGTGAAATGAGTCCTGAGCCTGTGGTCGGCCAAACACCGGAGCCTCTTACATTCATAGGGTCGTAGCCCGCGGCATCAGAGGGCCACAAAGACACCCAGACCCCTGCGAGATGCTATGCTTATATATGGAAACTCCCTCCCAAAGGGGTCATCCAATTTGGTACATTTCTTTTAAGTTTACTCCGTGCATTAAGGGAATTTAGATCTGTGTCACCAGATGTTTGCCAGTAAAGACTTCCTGAACTTTTAATGAGTGAAGCTGCTGGAACAATGCAGCACAAAACGTGTTACACTGGTCTATGTTTCTACAAAACGTTTATTCAAAGCGACCTGTCCATGGCCACAGCCAGATAGCATGCAGGGTGTGTCCCAGCTCCTACGCGATTTGTGAACATGAAGGAATGTCAACACATAACGGGTTGAAATACATTGAAGTCTCTTTGATATGAAGCAGTTTCCATTAAAAAAAACAATGAATTACTTCTACTGGAATTGGAAATGTCTTTATTCTGGGAGGTTTTGAGTTGATCCGTGTGATTTCTACATGCTTCGAATATCTTCACAGGGAATGGTAATATCTGCTAAATGGCTTTTGAATAAAACACCATCCAACTCCAAGTAAGAATTCAGGCCCGAGTTCAGGTGAAAACATAGCCAACATTTTTATGTTTGCTTTATGTATATACAACAATGTTTAGGTCAAAGAAAAAAGAAAAACAACTTAAGCAATTTCATCAATAATACTGCACATGGCAGCATTGTTGTCCAACAATTTGTCCCGCTTTGAAATGGGGATAATCTTGTCCTGGTGCCCCGCTGCCATACAGCTGGCACCCGCCTCCTCAACATCCATCGGTTCCGTATTCAACCAGGGGGCCTGTCCAGATGAACCGACACCAGCTCCTTCAGACACGCTCCTTGGAACTTCACCAGCAACATCCGGACCCTCCATCTGTGGCAAGTCATCAGGGAGAGAGGCAAGGCAGCCCTGGATCATCTCCACCACCCTCTCCAGATGTTTGTGGAACCTCTCAGCGGTCTCTAGCCTCTGTCTCTTCTGCACCTCCATCATCACCCTCAATGTCTCCCTGGCTTGATGTGGCCTGTACTCATTTATCAGGTGATGCATGTGTACAAACAGAAGCTTCAAGTCCTCCAGCTTCTCCTCGCGCTTTATACTACCAGGGCTCTTGATAAGGATGTCCAGCAGGTCAAGAAAGTTCACAAGTATCGACATATTGAGCTTCTTAAGCTCCCGTTTGTGGTCAAATTGCATGGGATGGAGCCTCTCTATGCCTTGGCTCTCCAGTGGCCGGATTATGAGTTCATCACACTGGAACTGGTTGCCAAACATCATGTAGCTGTCTCTGATGGGTGGAGGTGGCTTAGGTACCAGACCCTTGCGGATGTTTTCATCCGTGTACTCTTTGATGTACTGCATAGGTGGAGGAGGCAGGGCACTGACCTGCTGTGGTTCACCCATGATGCTGACCTGAAACAGAAACAAAAATCTTACATCAGTCGGGTTTTCCTTACCAAGCAATGCAAACCAAGTTGGGAATTTAAATCTATAGCCGTTTTAAGGCAAAGAAGAGCACACACGTTGTGCAACACTATAATATGTTGTGTCAAGAGAACAAGTACTCGTTACAAAGGAGGGCGTCAGTACTGAAAACTACATTCAATAAAAGGCAGTAATGTTTGGTAAGTTCAACTTGTACTGCTGAGATAAGTTCAATGGTCAGAGTTAATATCAGCTACGACGAAAATACGACGAGTAGATCCATTGTAATCGATAGACAGTTTCCACCTTTGGGAGAAAACCGAGGCACATTCTTTTACATAAGAAGTATCTTATGCAAGAGCACGGTTAGCATGTAGTTGTCAGAACGGGCGGAGGCTAACACGCGAGCGATGCTAGTTACGTTAGTACCTAAATGACCGAAGAAGATTAATGAGCACGTTCTATCCATAACTTACTTAAAACGTATTCACGTTTTCAAGTGTGTATTTTAGTCTACAACTGGACATAACATAACATTGTGAGCAGAACACTGCGGTTCGGAGAGAAATGTTGCTAAGTCAAATAGCTATGTGGCTAATATTGGACTAGCAGTGTATCTGCTAGCTTCCGCTAACTAGTGAGCGTCGTTCCGCTGGTAACATTCTCACAAACTAAGCGAATGAAATGAACGACAGTGATGATTCTTCTACGCACCTCTCAAAGGGACTCCTTGGTTGCTGAATGTGCACCTTAATAATACAATGTCATACAAGTATTTAAGCTCATGGCTAGCCTAGCTCCTTCCTTTCATTGACGTGACCGTCTCTGCCCCGATCCCATTGGCTGATCTACCCTCGTGACGTGTGGTGGTCGTGCTGATTGGACTTTACCTGAAGAGCATGTTCAACTCTGGGTTATTCCAAAAATATGGCAGCATGACATCTGGGGAGCCGGATGAACAACTGTTTTTGTTGATTGTTTTATCACAATTATTATTGTAAAAGAATTTTCACCATAGTTCATCACAAATTGCTTGAGGTATAAAATCAATCAGCATTGTATGAGGTTCCAAAAACACAGAAATTTGCTTTCCAAATGGGCATTGCCCAATAAAAAACCGAAAATGTATTAGTTTTTAAGATGTTTGTATCAGTCATGATAAAGGCTAAATCAGATCAGATATTTTTACACCTGACAAATATTAGCATTTTTTAACATTAAGCCTGATTTTTGTGCATTTCTTTTTTCTATTCCCTTTTACCTTTCTTAATTTTATCTATAGAAATTGCCTTACCTTCAGGGGTCATCGAGCCAAACAAGTTGGTCCATACTCATCCAAAATGTACATGCAGGCTAAGCTGTAGAAACAATTTTCCTGATGGTGGTGCTATTCCATTCCATTTAGTGATCACCTTGCATATCTCAAAACCTCAGTTTGAAAACATTGTAGTTAACCTTGTTTTTAGGTCGTTCAAAGTTTTCAATAGGTGTCTTTTTGATATAGAGTTTCAATTCATACCCTCAATATTTTGTTAAATTAAGAATAACGCTTTAAACTATTGCCGGGGTACTATGATGCTATACTATATAAAAACATAATAACCTGACGATTTCTATATCACCATACTATATGTTTGTGTGTTTGGTGGAACATGTGCAAAAATGGAGAGATTAAAGAATCACCATCCTATTGCTGCACACACTTATTGCAACATAGCTGGAAAAAGTGCGTGTGAGTGCTTGTATAGTTTGTGTGTGTTCTGTACGGGAGTGTAAGCACAACCCACTTTATGCCGTAAGGATGTGGTTTACCGAGTGCAAGAAGTTTATACAGGAAGCTGCACGGCTTTTGTTGGGTTATCATCCACTAGCTTTTTTTCTGTCACTGAGAGGTACTCATTCTCTCTCCATAAGCCAAGAGGCACCAGAGTAATTCTTTGCGTTATTCAGAACTGCCACCATGTTCCCCAGGGTGATTTTGAAGGGAACTTTGATAAAAAAATCTCAACAAAAGAAGAGAACATCACCGTGCAACTACAAAGAGAGGTTTTTTGTATTGGACACACAAGATCTGAAATATTCTGAACGCCGCCCTGGAGTAAGTATCTGCATATATTTATACACAATGTTTAAATTGAAATGATGCAATCTATAGGTTGATTCTGTAAACCATTGAATCACATCCACAGTGCGTTTAGCAGACATAAAGTTAAGATAATGTTTTTTCAGAGAAAGCCCATGCAGAAAGGTTGCATCGAGCTCTCCAGAATCAAATGTGTGGAGATTGTGTGCAGCGATCTTCCAATACCATGCGACTACAAGTACCCGTTTCAGGTGAGGTCATGCAATCCAATACCACGTTACATGCTGTAATTATAATTTTTCTCGTGACATAACACGTAGTGCAATTGCATCATAACACAACAATGGAAGCATGTTCTCAAATGCAAACTTCTCTACAGGTTTTTCACAACAACTACTACCTGTACATTTTCGCCCCAGACAATGATTGCCGTCTGAGATGGGTCAGAGCTCTGAAAGAGGGTGAGCTATTTGACACCATCGTATTTATAAACGGCGGTAGTGCAAGAAATTATTTTGCAACAGTGATTTTGATTCATGAGCTCAATATTTCAAACTATATTTTTATTTATTATGCCTGATGTAGAGACAAAGTCTAACGATTTGGCCACCAAATACCACCCAAACTTCTGGACGGATGGAAAATGGAGATGCTGTCAACAAACAGGGAAACTGGCCACAGGTTGTCATTTGTATGACCCAGTGGGTTATGGTTGGTATAGTTTCTTCTCTTCTCCTTGTTTCTGACATATTCACATCAAGTCTAATTTGTGTATTTGATTTAGTGTGACATGAGTCATGTGCTCATGGAAAAAAACAAAAAAAATCTTTTTTCTAACATTTGCTTAAGGCAAATCTTTTACTGTTGTAATATAACTAAACAAACAACTAAACATCTTCAAAATCCAGTCTGAAGTTGTGAAGTTTTGTACATTTTGGGTGATTCAAAATCAACTGCTGATTGCATGTTTCTCATTCCACAGCTTCTAAAAAGCCACTTCCTCAACTCCCAGATAAAGAGGTATCGCTTTCAAAAGCACATATAACAAGCTGATGAAATTGTTTTGTTTTGTTAGTCAACACTGTTGAATTTGCAGGGTGTACAAAATGATTATCCTGTTTGCTTGTATGGTATGCTGCTTTGCTTTCGGCACAAATACGATTTCCCAGCTCAAATTGTTTTGCTCGTAAACAGCAATTATTGGCACTCATCTATAGCTGATTTACTATTACTTAAATATCATTGTGATTTAGTTTGTTAAGGTCAAGTACATATCTTTGAGGTGTATACATCTGTTTTGGGTTGCTTCTCTTCCAGGTCTGTCTCTCACTGCCGTGAGGCATTTTGTGTTCATCAAAATGTTACTCACAGAATATAAATCACCAAAGAGTTTGATGGAATTTATTTAGCAAAATAAAATTCACATTATCACATGCAATTTTCTTTTTCCCATCCCTGAAAGATGGAACTGCACGATACAGGTACAGTCATCGCCCTGCAGGACTACACGCCCCCCGGAGGCGCTGACTTGCCCCTTCTGAAAGACCAGGAGTACACCCTGGTCAACAAAGGCCACTGCGACTGGTGGGCCGTGCGGGATGACAGAGGGTAAGCCCCAGAAAGAGCCCGCACTTTGTAACAGAAAATCTTAATTTTTGTACTCAATAGTAAGGATGATTATGAGTATGCTGTTAATTCATATTCCTGACCGCTCATCAGAAACACGGGCTTTGTGCCCAGTACGTATGTAGCCGAAAAATCCGGCGCCAACTTCCAGAGATTTCAGTGAGTTGTAGTTTCTTTGTTCTTTTCCTTCTCCCTGAATCTGTTCTGCCCACTTATTTGTGGTTAATATGTCTCCTCCCAGATGGTACAACAAAAACATAACCAGGGGCATGGCAGAGGATTTGCTAATGAAACAGGTAAAACAAATATCAGTATTTAAGGATCCAGTGATTATTCCATCTTCCATCTGCGTTTCAACAGAAGTTTTGAAGTTAATTACCAGGACGTTTCTGCATTTTTGCCGTGACTCTCCCACCTCCAGCAGTCACACATTTGCAAAGTGAATGCAAATGCACCTGCGGAACACTATTGTGAGGTGTCATTGGCCACAAGAACATTTCTCACAACCACAGTGTTTTCTCCAACGTTGAATTTCCTGCTGATAAGCGTTTTGCTCGGTTTTACAAGTGAAAGGTGGACCAGCAATCCATCCTCTTCTACTCAATATGAATACTAATAAAAACACAGCACAAAATCACAAAAGGATTGTTTCATGGTGATAATTGTGATTTATATGATACTCGTTTCCACTTTTAGGGAAAAGAAGGCGCCTTTATGGTACGTGACTCAAGACAAGCGGGAGTCTACACAGTGTCCGTCTTCACCAAAGCACCGGGGTGATTTGACTTCCTTCCTATGTATTTAGGGTTTATTTGATAATGCTGTATGATTAGTAGAAAATATGGTGCTGGACATGAATACATCTGATGTACTAGATGACTTCTTTATTGTTTATTTGTAACCACGGTTTGTTCAAGAAAAGCCTTATATACACTGTTTCTTTCACATTCTTGCATACAGAGAGACACATACTAAAAGAACCTTTGCCCTACCCTTTCCAATTTAAAACTGTATAAACATTTACATAATACACCCACATTAACAACTAGGTTGTCATGCCTGTGTTTAAATGGAAACGTGACTCAATCTCTGACATTTTTCTCACGTCATATACTGCTTGTTGATATTTAATGCAAACACTTCAAATGCTCCTTTTTGCCAACGAGTGTGATTGGTCGCATAAAAAGCATATGTTTGCCATCTTAAGCTCTAACGGGGAGAAGAATCCAAGAGTCAAACATTACCAAATTCGACAGACGGAAACTGCAGAGTCCAAGTTCTACCTAGCAGAGAAGTACCTGTTCAGCACCATTCCTGAGCTCATCCATTACCATCAACACAACGCTGCGGGTAAGTTCACTGGCTTAGCGCATGCCACTGCATGAACACACACACACAGAAACAACTGGTTGCCAAGAGGAAGTTCTGCTGATTAAACAGCTGCACCGTGTTACAAAGGGCTATTGTCATTTATTGAAAATGATAAAATAGGGACATGTTGTCTGTGCTGCAGGCCTGATAACTCGTTTGCGACACCCAGTATCTCAAGACGGGGGCTGCTGCTCTAAGGACATCGCCGGCCCCTCAACAGGTCAGAGGATGTGCTGTTGTGTACATGGGTCAAACCTGTTGAACTGGAGTTGAAAACCATAATAACCTGACGATTTCTTTCTGACAACTACACGCAGGGTGCGTTCAGTGCTCCCTGACAATCACGTGACCGGTTTGGCGTTGTGTCAAAAAATCTGTGGCTTTCATAATGTTTTTAATGATTTATTGATGCAGCTAATTATTATAATTTAAGTTATCCTTCCTTCAGCAAAAGATTACCCCGTGTTGGCTGCTTAACAGATCAGTGGGAGCTGGACCCAGAGGAGCTGACCTTCGGTCGGGAGTTGGGCAGCGGCCAGTTTGGTCTCGTGCTGGAAGGGAGGTGGAGGGACAGCAAGGTGGCAGTGAAGACGATACGAGAAGAGTGCATGTCAGACGAGGATTTTAAAGAAGAGGCGAGAATCATGATGTAAGTGCAGTTCATGGAGTTGCCTCGGGTCGGTCGTGCCGTACTCGTCTGCTAACGAGTGGGTCTGCGTGCATTTTGACAGGAGGCTGTCTCATTGTAAGCTGGTCCAGCTCTACGCCGTCCACACCCAGCGCTCCCCCATGTGTCTGGTGTTTGAGTTCATGGACAACGGCTGTCTGTCGGACTACCTGCGAGCCAGGAAGGGGCACTTCTCTCAGGACACCATGTTGAGTATGTGCATGGATGTCAGTGAGGGGATGGCGTACCTGGAGAACTGCAACTTCATCCACAGAGATCTGGTAAACCAAAAGATAAGCTATTGTCACGATGCATTCATGGATCTGCAGTCTGTTGGAATCTTTCCTCGGTTTCCTTTTCTTCTGCAGGCTGCCAGGAACTGCCTAGTTTCAAAGAACAATGAGGTGAAGGTGTCCGACTTCGGCATGACCAGGTATGCGCCTCACCGAGTCGAATCACTAATGTCCACCGTGTTGTGTTAATCATATCTTTATCGTGTTTATGCTATAGCTCAAAGTCAGCTTATATTTACTGCCATGTCATGATGTCTCCTGTAGATTTGTGCTTGATGATCAGTACACAAGCTCCCAGTGCTCCAAGTTCCCCGTCAGGTGGTCGGCGCCAGAGGTCATCAAGTTCTCCAAGTTCAGCAGCAAGTCCGACATCTGGTCATTTGGTGTGTTTTTGCTTCCATCTCTGTGCCTTTCACTTGTTATGTGCATGTTGAGCGTTAGACTTGTTGTCTTTGGAGCCGATAACAATCAGTCTTTTGATGCACGCTTTCAAGATAACCGAATCTGAATATGTTGTTTCAACTAGTTATATATTTGATTAGAGTCGATGTGTATCCATCACATTAAAACATCAGGTTTCTGTTGGTTAGTTGAGTACAAATCAAAATCAATTGACTTTTAATTATAGCATATTGGCTCGACCACTTTACGCAATAAATTAGGTGATTAAGTCATTTCTGAACAAAGGAACGCTAAATGTTAAAGAGCATTGGTTTCTTTTTTAAATGTCATATATTTCATTAGTTTGAGTCCGTGTATATGTCTGCACAAAAGTATTAATAGTACATTTCTTGGAGTGATGCAAAGGAGTATCGTAAAATAAATAGCTCTTATTACAACTTTTTCAAACTTTGCGTTTTTATGTAGCAGGGATAGCATCTTGATTTTTTTTATGAAGTAAGTCTATCGGTGATGCATGATTGCGTGTAGTTTTGATAACACTTACATTGTGATGGTAATTCAAATCAACTGGAGTCTCCCCACTCCCCCACCCCCCCCCCCCCCCCCCCGGCCAGGTGTGCTCATGTGGGAGGTGTACAACGAGGGCCGACTTCCTTACGAGAACCACTCCAATGTCGAAGTGGTGGAGTCCCTGAGCAAAGGCCTGAGGCTCCTGAAGCCACGCTTGGCCCCGGAAGCTATCCACCGGCTCATGGAGTGGTGCTGGAAGGAGGTGGGCCCAAGAAATGACTAAAGCGGGGCAACTGCTGACGTAGACAAAAAAAAAAACCAATCCGCCAAACGCTGAGCAATGACACTTTTGTTTTCACGTTCTCATTCTCAGAAACCAGAAGACCGTCCGTCCTTTGCTCTTCTCCTGCGTGAGCTGCCCTCCCTCTAAGACCTGTGGGGATAAGATTTGAAAAGGATGAACGAAGCTATTTATTTTATTTATTGATGTACTACCAATGGCTTGTCTAAGCTTTTACTGTTTTTTAGTTCAGATGATTCCAATCACAATTTAGAATTTGTCAATTTAGCACTTTATCTGTTTCTCTATACAGTTTATTCCTGAGAAGGCTCACACAGCTATTTCTGCTTGCTGCACGTTTGGGTTTCAAGTATACTAAGGTTGGCGAATGTGTGAAACCATTGACAATTAAATGTATCCATTGTCATGAAATGTTCCAATTTATTTTGGGATGCATCATTTCAGCAGTGCAATAAAGAAACTCTTTAAACTGCTGAACAACAAAGTGCTCTTCTTTTCTCAGCAGTGGATGTCATGGCAGATAAATGAGCGTTCTGCTCTGCAGGTGCAGTGGCCATAGATAGAGCTACGGGCCGTGTTGTGATCTCTGGCCCAGAAAGATACGCAAAATAATATCCACTACAAGAGATGACAAATAAAATGTTCTAATCCTGATTCATCTGCCAGTCATTTAGCAGCCCCTTAACCAACAACATCTTAATAATGATATAATTTCACGTGTGGGTTAGTCCTACAGCACGTGTTTATTGCACATAGATAGACGATTGTTTGCTAATTAGGGTTCATTCCAGCATAATGTCTCTATTTTCCACATTTGAAATGATTAAAATGTTTTTCTTTTTCTTTTAAAAAAAAAGCAGAAAGCTCATCCCAATTATAACGGCGGGATGTATTAGGACTAAAAGGACAAGTGGGGAACTATGTAACCATTGACATCTTGCCACCAGGGGTCTGCGATGACTATTCAGTCCTGTCCGGTATCATCATCACGTTCTGCAAACGAAAAATGCAAAATAACAAAGGGTAGAAAACTCACTATCACAAGGACCACAAATGACCTACATTAAACACAATGCATTTAAACCGAACTACCTACTTGTGGGATCTACGTGTGTGTGTGTGTGGGGGGGGGGGGGGGGGCGCACACACTGTGACTGTCCCTTTAAGAAAATGCACTTGCAGCCATTTTCTACTCTTTGTGTGGGGTGGATTAGCTCTCTGGGTTGGAGCGGTGCGAAACTAGAGCATCAATCGGCACAGAAGCAGAAGAGGAGCAAAAAAATAAATTAAAAACATATGTATAAAAAATCAGAATAAATAAAGAGATCAGCAGACATCGGATCGCCGTCGCAGCGCGTCTCTGGATTCCGCCGGACGGACATGCGATTTACAGGTAACGTAGCGGCGGATGGAGCCGCAGGAGCCGCGCGGGGCTGCTGATGCGCGCTGGGCGGTGATGATGGCTGGGAGACGCCGGAGGGCTGGGGCTCTTCTTTTTGTGTGTGTGTGTGTGTTGTTTTTCTTCTTCCACCTTGCATCAACCCCGTTACCGATCTGTCCGTGCACGAGTGACATATTAACGCGCGATCGCTATTGAATCGAGCCGAATTTTTTTTTTTTTTTTTTTTTGTGTGTCAACGGATTATTGTGACACATGAATGGGATCCTCGTTTAGCAAACCGCGGCGCACACTGAGATGGGTGGGGTTGAGGAGAGGGTTCATCCCCGGGAAACGCTGCAGAAACGCTGCGACCCCATCACGGCGTTTTCCCTTTTTCTATTTTTTTTAATGCATTTCCGCTGCACGTAGGAAAGAGATGCGACGAGGAGAGGAGGGAATGGGATGCTTCACAACACCGCTTTCATTCTCTCTCTCTCTCGCCGCCCCCCGCGCTTTCTCTCCCCCTCGTCACCCCTTCTGACCCAGCGGGCAGCGAGGCCCGCCGGCCCGCTGCGGGATGCACGGATGACAGGTTCACCCACTTCCGTTTCACACGGATGTTCGATGCACGGTCCTGTCATTGAATGAAACCCCCCCCTCTCTCCCTCTCCGTTATGTCTCATTCCGATCCTGCATAGCATCCACCCGTCCGCTGACTTAGAGTAGCAACGTGAAACGTGCTGCTGCAGACTCGCTGAGATCTTAACGCCCCCCCCCCCTCCTCCCCTCTCATCCCCCCTCCCCAACTGGCCGTGCGGTCATGACTTGCTGTGGAGGGTCGCATGATGCTTGTACTCATCCATAGTAAATAATAATAAAAAACTATTTCTCACGAGTGAGACAGATGTGCAACACATGTGGAATATCTGAATGATTGTTGAAGTGTAGATTATTGGGCACGAGTGGGTAACCATTCAGTCATCTGGCTATTCCCACCTCTCCGTTAATTGATTCAATTGGCGAGCCGAACTATGCGCGTATTCACCACAAAATGTATCCTATGCGATCGATAAAATATTCCCCGGCTCCGGTTTGCCGGTTCTGTGTCATTGTAACTCGTCGGCCTTCGGGTTTCGGACTGTTGGTTTGAGGTGGACCAATTTTGTGTGGATCAATAATGGAAAGAACAATTAGTTTAGCCTACTGGAACTCATTTAGTGGTAGCGGCCTTGTGTTTACTGTCCCATATTACCATCATCAGCGCAGCTATTGCCTCACCGGCGGCAGTTAGCAGCTGATGCTGCTGCTGCTGCTTTCAGTCGAGCACATTGGCAGACAAAGACAGAAAGACAACGGCCTGGTAGACAGAAATATCCAGCCAACCAAAGAAATAAAACGAGAAGTAGTGGTGAGCTGTGAGAACAGAAACCAGTGTGATCCGGCACGCTAACCTTGAGGGCCACAGATCTGCAAAACACAAAACCTTTCATTCAAAAGCCCCAAAAAAAGAATATTGTGTGCCTCCGAAGGCGGGTGATGTTAGTTTAGCTTTTTGTTTTTTGTTTTGTTTATCGCCCCCCCCACCTGTCTGTCAAGCCCAGTCACGTGAGCCAGGCTTCTGCCCCCCTTCTCCCTCATTGCATATTTGTGCGTGATGTTCATTGTGTCATGGATCATGAGACAACAGCAGTTTTGCGGAGTTTAAAAAAAAAAAATAAAGTCGAGCGCGCAGCCGTCCGCCGTGGTGCACATGACACAGACGCACTACACACGGGTGCATCTGGAATACACACACGTGACCGGTGTTGACGGGGTGTGTGTGTGCGTGTGTGCGTGTGTGCGTGTGTGTGTGTGTGTGTGTGTGTGTGTGTGTGTGTGTGCGCGCCGTGTGTGAGCGCTTGTCTTCTTCTTCTTCCACGCTGATCAGGTCTCGTCTTATTGTGAGGACAAATATATATTACAAAACCAGCCTGGAGGGGGACATCCCTCTGAGTAGTGTGACCCTGGAGTTGACACACTTCCTCCCTCTCTCTCTCTCTCTCTCTCTCCCCCCCCCCCCCCCCCCCCCCCCACCCCCCACCCCCCCACAAGATGTATTACACACACGCCTCGCAGCACATACTGGTCGAGCTCTTCTTCTACACACGCTGCTCTTTGCTATTTTGGTACTTTTCCTACTCTTCCTCATTGTCCATTCTTCTTTTTAGGTGTAATATTTTGAGCACTTCCTCAAAGCATCGTGACCCTCTTTGGTAGCATGCTGCTCCGAGATCATGCCTAGGCCTTCGTGGTGGCTTTAGCTAGATCGGCCTGAGGGACGTTCGCTCATCATGAATGTTCAAGTGCTACTGTATGTTTGTTTTTTTTGTTTTTTTGTTTTTGGGAAAGCTTCACTCCCGGTGTGAAACGGGCTCCCGTCTCGGTTACCAAGTGTCCAGAAGGGAGCGATGGGGCCCTTTTTGCTTTGTGTAGATACACACACACACACGCACACACACACACACACTCACACAGACACACCAACTGTTGGACAGAGACGTGTACAGGGTGGGAAAGTTGATTCAGCCGACCAGGGCCTCAGTCCCCGTCTGTATTCCCAAGCACAGATGGGAGTTTAGTGGCGCTGGGCCTGGTTGTCTGCCTGACAGAAGCCCTTTTCTATAAGCTGAACTGTTAAAAATATCCATAACGGTCTTATGCTTCGAGGCATCAGAGGGTGTGAGAGATCCAGGTGGTAGAGTCACAGCAGTGGAAAGAATACAGGAAGCAACTTTAGAAATAAATGAGTTAACGCACACATTGCAAAGTGGCAGCGGCACGCGGGGCCGAAAGTCTCCTTCTGGTCCACGAAAATCAAATGAGCAAAAAGACGTTGAATCTGCTTATTTGACTTGAAATTGAGTCCCATCTTCATTGCCATTGGGCCAAAATAAAATGTTTGTGCAAAGGATCTTACAGGCCCGGAGGAGACATGATAACATGGATTGGACATTAGAAGGTTCACTCTAAATTAATTCAGCGTATTACGTATTGTCTATACGTAACTAACTTTTCCTTTGCCAATACACGGACGCGTCGCTCGAGTTTAATAAGAAGATTGATAACTCGACCTTCTGTATGAACTCGGGCTTCAAAACCGGGCGTTTACCTCATGCAAATATAATCTCTGTGTTTGGAAATTTCACAGTTTCATGCGACAGGAAACTAGCAGGGCGCTTCCACGCCGTCCGCGAGACGACTCCTGTCATTGTGATAGTGATCAAATTTGAGTCATCCTCTTTTTAAAAGTACAGCATTATATTTGGCTTTGGCTCTGCATTGAGACATGTGTCAGCATGCAGCCGCGTTGACATTTACACTACACGCGGTGACTTGTGTTTGTGTGCGCGAGAGCATTCTGGTCGACCTAGAAGTTCATTTATTTATATATATATATATATATTACACGTTGGCCTTCTCCCTGCCTGGACCCCCGGCCCTCGCTGGCCGAAGCCGCGCTCTCTGGCTGTGAATATTAAACTGATTATCGGCCCTGTCAGCGCTGCCTGCCAGGTCAGACGTAAAACACACATTACCAACAGGCGCATAAGACACGGGTGGACGCATACACACAGCTTCCACCCATTGGCTGGTGTTTTATGATGAAGAGGAAGAGCGGCACAGCAATGGCGGTTCTGTCTCAAAGGGGTTTGCCCGTTTATTTTCCAAAGATGGAGGACAGTAATTAGTAGTAGCTGTAGATTTTTAAGCCTAACGAATGCGCTGTAAATGCATCCTGTGCTCGTATACAGCGATCCACGGTGTATTGATTTGAATTATCACAAGTACAAAATGTCGGCTCGCCTAACGCCTACTGCCTTTTGCAGCGCTGAACATGTTGCGTTTGTTGAATGTCAGTCACTGCCAGACTCCCTCCGATCAATGAGATATCCAGGTCATGACTTTTCACAGAATTAAACACTTGATTTCAAATGAAACGGTATTTTGCAAACCGTGAGTCTAATAGAGTCTATAGTTCCCAATAAGAGCAGAGGGGAGAGGATACAGGTGCAGGGCGAACAGACATGTAGCTCCACCGCACAGCACCAACGGGGCTCCACAAGAGGAAGTGGGGTCGAGACGCGTCACGACAATAACAACGATCTCGTTGCGTCGACTGGCTGCAGTTATCCAACACCTTTTACTCCTCATTCGACTTTCAACCATATCCACGCGCCTTCAGCTCACACTTCCAGCACTCTGTGCATATACTGCTCATCCATTCAACCTAATCCTATTCTCTCTTTTCAATAAATAGACCACACAATCTTTCCTTGTACCCCCCCAGATAGCGACCATAACGGTCCTCCTGTCTGTCGCCTCGTCTCCTCACTCTCTCTCTCTTCATTTTCTGCCTTCTCTCAGACCGGGGTGTTGTGTGTGAGTGACGCCTTGTTGCCATGACGACCCACGTGACCCTGGAGGATGCCCTGTCCAATGTGGACCTGCTGGAGGAGCTGCCCCTCCCGGACCAGCAGCCATGCATCGAGCCCCCTCCCTCCTCCATCATGTACCAGGTACACGCTCACACAGGCCGCCGCCCGCCGTCGTTCCCCCCCCAGCGGCTCAGACGTGTTCATCGCACCGCGTTTAACCCTTTAATCCGCCCCCTGCCCTCTCTCTACAGGCCAACTTTGACACCAACTTTGAAGACAGGAATGCATTTGTGACCGGCATCGCCCGTTATATCGAGCAAGCTACAGTCCACTCCAGCATGGTGAGAAATGTGCCTCAAATGTCATGGCTATACACCTATCAGGGGTGCAAACTTGTCACCTTTCCGTGAAATTCGCTGTTTTTGTTTCAAAATAGGTCATTTGTGTGATTCATGTAGATCAGCAATAATAATATTTTGGGGGGGGGGGTGTCCGGTCCGGTCCTCCAAGTAATCTGCGAACGCAAGCTGTCATGAATATTTTTTTCAAGCTTGTTCGTTTGGCCAACTCGTGTCATCGTGTCATCTTCGGGTCTATAGCTGCCTAGATGCCGTAATAGACAGGAGTGACGTTGGTACGCTGCAAGAACGTCAGTCTTTCTAACGTAGGCTAACGTGCTAATGTCAGACAGTTGGCTGACAGACGCCTCGCAAATCACATCAACCATTTTTGCTGGTTACAATAACGGTGTTATCAGATAGTACAGTGTCTGTTTCACGGGAACTTTTGAAAAATCTAAGCGAGAAAAAAAATGTACCTACCTTACCTTCACATTAAATTACCCTCCCTCCCTCTTGCTAATATTTATTCTGTTCGTTTCAAAGCGAAATCTATTCTTGAGGTTCCAAACATTTCCAAAGCAATTTGAAGCATATGCGAAAAAAAAAAAAAAATATATATATATATATATATATATATATATATTCCCCGATGGGGGTTCGGATCTGTCACCTTTTTCATCCCTGATGAGTTTGCACCCCTGACTATATATATATAATTACTTTTTTTCCACATCTGATTGGTTGAATCAATATTTGTTTGTGTCCTGAATAGTTGATGTTCTCCTCTTTGAGAACACTGAGCCAACTGTGGGAAGCAGCCTCCCTCCTTAAAGCAAGCCTTGTTTCCTGTGAATTGATTATCATTCGGCTCTTTTGTTAGGATTTGGCGAGGCCCAAAGCCGGGCATGCGCACACACACACACACACGCACGCATACACGCACACACACTGGTGGATCAGCCAGGCAACGGTCCATCCCCTGATGGTGAAGAGTGTGATCTGACTGGCAAAGAGGGGAAGTCGGGCATTATTTCATCAGGAAGTGCGATTGATGTTTGAGCCGGTCTGCTTGAGGTCACTGCTCTTTTTCAGCCGGAGTAATGGAGAAATCTTCCTCACCTACTTATGAATGACAAAGAATGGTGCCCTGCTAAAATATTTACCGAGCCCCATTCATCCTGGAACATGTGACTCGTCTGAGAAGTTTGAAATTTTTTTTTCTTTCTTTCAAGTGCCTTTTAAAGGGCCAGTTCATCACAGTCAACGTTTCGGTGTGAGTCTGCAGAGTTTTGGGGATGTCAGCCTGCGCTTGAATATCATGGGACCGTTTGCCACTCGGCTTGTAGTAGTATACATTTAGACCATGACGGGCTAGTCAAGATCCTTGTTCTATGCAGCTTTGTGGACAGCTTTGTTAGCAAACTATTTCTTCCAAACATTGTTCCCATATTATATCTCATTACCAAGCAACTCACACCAAAACAAACTAATAAAACGCACTACAGGTAAGATTCTGGGGTGAATTGTTCTTTTTAAGTAAGAGATGCAAATAATTAAAGCAATCCAGGTGAATATATATATATATATATATATATATATATATATATATATATATATATTCTGTTCCTATGCTTTCAATTTGTTTTATTGTATCTGTATTATTTTTTCAGAATGAGATGCTGGAGGAAGGGCATGAGTATGCGGTGATGCTTTACACTTGGAGAAGCTGCTCCAGAGCCATTCCCCAGGTACCCCCCCCCCCCCCCACACACACACACACACTCATACACTTGTTCTTTAATAGCTAGGGAATTGTTCCTTCCTTTCTTTATGGGATCTTACTCTGCATACTCGCACTGAGAAAAGTTTATGGCTTTTATTTCTGGTAAAGTTCTCACTGTGTTTGTCAAACTGGAACGTTCGGCCTGAAAGTATCTCATCATGGAACACTTTTCACTGAGAAGACAGACAAACCTCCATGGAAAGTGGTTGCAAAATGTGTTTGTTCTCAAACCAAACATAATGTCATTCAGCCACCAAATTAGAAGCTTAGGTGTCAGGCTTTTCCCCCACACTCAAGATAAATATTAGATCACCCTCGGTTACCACTTCATTATTGCAGATGATGTCATTTCCCCACACTATATTTCTTTACTGTGGGGAAACACCCCCTCTTGTTATAAACCACGTCGATCTGCAAACAAACTACAAAGTTGAGTAAATCAGCTGTACTAAACAAACTGTACCACTGCTGCCAAATCAAGCTGCTCAATGGCTCCCTCTTGTGTTTGCCAGGTGAAATGCAACGAGCAGCCCAACCGGGTTGAGATCTATGAGAAAACAGTGGAGGTCTTGGAACCGGAAGTCACCAAGCTCATGAAGTTCATGTACTTCCAGGTAAGACCCGGCTTTCTGACAAAAAAAACACCCTAATCCAACAATTAGATTCATGCAATAACAGATGTAATAATTTCAGAGTTTCCATGTTTGGTGTCTTTCGCGATAAATATATTTTTTTCAATGCTAACAATTCCATCTATCCTGATTTCTTTTTCTTTACAGCGGAAAGCCATTGAACGTTTCTGCAGCGAAGTAAAGCGTCTCTGCCACGCCGAGAGAAGGAAGGACTTTGTGTCCGAGGCCTACCTACTCACTCTGGGCAAATTCATAAACATGTTTGCAGTGCTGGACGAACTGAAGAACATGAAGTGCAGCGTGAAGAACGACCACTCTGCCTACAAAAGGTAGTGAAGCACAAATGGAGGAACCCTAATGTAGAACCGTTTAGTCAGAGCCAGGTTCTAACTTGCCTCCTCTGACCTCCAGGGCTGCTCAATTCTTGAGGAAGATGGCCGACCCGCAGTCCATCCAGGAGTCCCAGAACCTCTCCATGTTTTTAGCCAACCACAACAGGATCACCCAGGTTGGTGCACAGACTCTTTACAACATGCGGTGTAAAAACATGTCACCGCGTAAGGACACGGAGGACGGAAGGCTGACCTATTTAGTCAACTGGACTCGTTGTGCGCTGTTCCGCTGTCGTAAAGGGTTTCAAGGCTGCTTTTTCAGCGTATCTTTGGAGGAAAAAGTGGCGTTTAGTTTGTAATGATACAGACTTACAGCAACAATCTGATTTAATGCTCTAGACTTTCTACACAAACTGAGCAGATGTCTGATTTGCATTTGTGCTCTTCAAAGGTGACGTGAGATTGTGCAGTCTGGACAAAGGCGTTTTATGGAGCAATTAACCCCAACATGAATATGTGACTGTTGTATTCAAGCTGCAGATTTGCTTTTTAACATTAGATAGTGATGGCAAGGAGAGAGAATGAGACTATTTGTAAGATTCTTGTGTGTTTTATGTTTTGTGTGTGACTTTTCAACTTGCAGTTACAATATTAAGAGCCTTATTATAGCGACTTTTTGCTACGTGATTAATACTACGTGAGTGGTGGAGGTATGACATATTTTTGTCGGCCAATCTCGTAATTTAGCATCACACTTGTTCCCTGATCACAGATAGGGATTTGGAAAGTTAATGGTACACGGTTTGTTCACTAAAATATTCTTCCCAAATGAAAACCTTGTTTGTCATTTTAAAGCATAAAATACAAGAGAAAAGTCAGCAGGAGAAAAAAACATTGAGATATGGACAACAAGGCTGTGAAGCTGTGATGATGTTTTTGTGGTCTCTTTAATCCACCATTTATTAAGACACATAAAAGCCTAGAAATCAACATTATGTCCATTTGAGGAAACCCCTCAACAGAAAGGCCTTCAGGTTCCTGTTTTTACTACTCGCAGGTTGTGAACGGCACATCTGTGCCATACGAAGAGAGGAGGGCGATTAGTATTATTTTGAGAGATAAAATCTAGAGGAAATCTAGACGGATGCGGCTTGTCGTAGGATGTAGTTACGTATGATGAGCACTGCGTTCGATGCTCTGAAGGTACTTGAAGCTTTTTGTGCCCCAAAAGCCTCATCAGACTCCATCCGCCCCGTCACCACTGTAGATGAACCCCTGTGATTTGCCCTGTTCTGTCTGTCTGTCTGTTTGTGTGTGTGTGTGTGTGTGTGTGTGTGTGTGTGTGTGTGTGTGTGTGTGTGTGTGTGTGTGTGTGTGTGTGTGTGTGTGTGTGTGTGTGTGTGTGTGTGTGTGTGTGTGTGTGTGTGTAGTGCCTGCACCAACAGTTGGAGGTGATACCGGGCTACGAGGAGCTTCTGGCCGACATTGTCAACATCTGTGTGGACTATTATGAGAATAAGATGTATTTGACACCCAGCGAGAAGCACATGCTGCTAAAGGTAAACACACCTTTTCCTGCTGCGCAGCCAGCACGGTCAACGGAGATGATCTTCAGCCGGCTTAAGGCTGAAGGTCCGTTGCTGGTGTAAAAACGGCCCGTCTCTCTCTCCGTGTGTCAGGTGATGGGCTTTGGTCTGTACCTGATGGACGGGAACGTCAGTAATATCTACAAACTCGACGCCAAAAAGAGGATCAACCTGAGCAAAATCGACAAGTTCTTCAAAGTAAGGCTTTTGTATTCAGCATATTTCATATTCCGGATGTTGTGTCCTTTTTGAGTCTGACACCCCCTCCTCGCCGTGTTTTTCAGCTTCAAGTGGTGCCGTTATTCGGAGACATGCAGATTGAGCTGTCCCGCTACATCGAGACCAGTGCCCACTACGAAGAAAACAAGTCCAAGTAAGAGGACGTGTTCAGCAGTCTGCATACGTAGTGCACAGAAACGCAATTCTTTCCCTGCTGCGCGGTCGTCTCCCCCTTCCCCCCTGAAAAAAACTTGTTTCCATTTTGTGCCCAGGTGGACGTGCACCCAGAGCAGCATCTCGCCGCAGTACAACCTGTGCGAGCAGATGGTGCAGATCAGGGAGGACCACATCCGCTTCATCTCGGAGCTGGCGCGCTACAGCAACAGCGAAGTGGTGACGGGCTCGGGCCTGGACAGCCAGAAGTCCGACGAGGAGTACAGGGAGCTGTTCGACCTCGCTCTGAGGGGTCTGCAGCTGCTGTCTAAGTGGAGCACGCACGTCATGGAAGTTGTGAGTGAAAGCAGCGGGTTGTTTTAGGGGGGAGGGGGGTTAACAATGAAATGTGTTTGTGGTTTTGAAATTCGAAGGTTGTCCGTTTTTAAAGAAAAAAGAAAAAAAAAAAAAAATCTATTCATAGCTCTCGCTGTCTATTTCAGTACTCTTGGAAGCTGGTCCATCCCACAGATAAATTCTGTAACAAGGACTGCCCGGGCACAGCGGAGGAGTACGAACGAGCCACGCGATACAATTACACCAGTGAGGAGAAGTTTGCCCTGGTGGAAGTCATTGCCATGATCAAAGGCCTGCAGGTACCAGCGACCGTGACGCGTGTCCAGCAGCTCTTTTTTTAACGCATTCAACATTGCTGTACATATTTTCAGCTCATCCAGCCAGAGGGGTGTGTGTGTGTGTGTGTGTGTGTGTGTGTGTGTGTGTGTGTGTGTGTGTGTGTGTGTGACATGACAAGTGATGCGGCAAACGCCTGTAATGTCCTTATCCTTTACTTAAATAGAATAGATTGTCATTTAGGGAAATGCACTTATTTTCTGTACAGCTCGGGGTTCAATTAGAAGACCAATGGCGCACTTTTAAATATGAAGCAACAGTGAGAAGCCGGATTGCTCAGTTTAGCTTAAAGAATAGACACAGAGGGAATTGTGGAGGGCGGGGGGGGGTTATTCTTAGATTCCTCATTTCTGAACAAGGTAGACCCAGTTGATTTAATAAAGCTACGTACATGTCGGCATTTTAAAGAGGTGAGCAGAGGGGTTTTATATCTGCACACAGTGTCTGCGCAGCGGGCTGCTCATCTAACTGTGCAGTAAAGTCAACAAGTGAATGTCTCATAATATCAAATCATTCCTCCAACACGGAGTTGATGGTCGGTAACCTTTGTGACCTGTTGATGTTGATGATGATGTTGATGATGATCCCAGTGCTTTGTAATGGACTGTGTAGGTTCTGATGGGCCGAATGGAGTCTGTGTTTAACCAAGCCATCAGGAATACCATCTACGCAGCGCTGCAGGACTTTGCCCAGATGACCCTCAGAGAGCCTCTGCGCCAGGCTGTGCGCAAGAAGAAGAATGTCCTCATTAGGTAAACGCACACACACACACACACACACACACACACACACACACACAGTGATGATCTGATCAAATGAAGATTAAAGCTAATTTTAAGGCTCTGTTTTTTTTTTTTACCCCTTAACGCTCTAATGCACTTGCGTAATCCTATTTTTATTCTTCGGTAGTGTCCTCCAGGCCATTCGTAAGACTGTGTGTGACTGGGACGGGGTGAGGGAACCCCCAAATGACCCCTGCCTGAGGGGTGAGAAGGACCCAAAAGGTGGATTTGACATCAAAGTTCCCCGCAGGGCTGTAGGACCCTCCAGCACACAGGTAAGACCTTACTGAATACATCGATTTATGTTCAATGCTTATATTCTGAAGGTTGTAAATGATCATTTTTGCATTCCTCCTCGTCCCTCTGCAGCTGTACATGGTGCGCACCATGCTGGAGTCCCTGATAGCAGATAAGAGCGGCTCTAAGAAGACTCTCCGCAGCTGCCTGGATGGACCCATAGTGGTGGCCATAGAAGACTTCCACAAACATTCCTTCTTCTTCACTCACCTGCTCAACTTCAGCGGTAAGTAGAAAGCTTCCGTGGACATAAAAAAAGAAGGTCCCATTGAAGTAGCTCTTGTAAAAATGAGCCCCACTGCCTGCGGGCATTTTCAAGTAACTTCTTCCCTCCTCTCCCACCGTCCAGAGGCCCTGCAGCAGTGCTGCGACCTGTCCCAGCTCTGGTTCAGAGAGTTCTTCTTGGAGCTCACCATGGGTCGCAGGATCCAGTTCCCCATCGAGATGTCCATGCCCTGGATCCTCACTGACCACATCCTGGAGACCAAGGAGCCCTCCATGATGGAGTAAGACAAACGCCTGTTTTGCAATTCGATAAAACCGCAGCGCATTATAACCCCCGGTCTCCCTCCCACAGATACGTGCTGTATCCCTTGGACCTGTACAACGACAGTGGCTACTACGCTCTCACCAAGTTCAAAAAGCAGTTCCTCTATGATGAAATTGAGGCCGAGGTACGGTGTTAAGACCCTCCGTGGAATTCAAATGCAGAGGTCTTTACGGCGCCTTCACGACCTTCTTCTCGTTCTCAGGTAAACCTCTGCTTTGACCAGTTTGTCTACAAGTTGGCGGATCAGATATTCGCCTACTACAAAGCAATGGCTGGAAGGTACGGTAGAACGCGGCGTCTCCTTCTCTCTGCGTCACCGGGAATGATTTGCCGACGTGGTGGCAGTCCTCCCGGCCCGCTTCTAACGAATCACCATGCCACGTGTTTCACAGCGTCCTCCTGGACAAGCGCTTCAGAGCCGAGTGTAAAAACTACGGCGTGATCATCCCGTACCCGCCGTCAAACCGCTACGAGACGCTGCTCAAACAGAGACACGTGCAGGTACTGAGGAAACACTCCTCCGTCACTCGCACGCCTTTTTTGGGCCACCTGTTCGACCTGTATCTCTCAAGCACTCCTCCTTTTTCCTCCCAGCTGCTCGGTCGCTCCATCGACCTGAACCGCCTGATCACCCAGAGGATCTCGGCAGCGATGTACAAGTCCCTGGACCACGCCATCAGCCGCTTCGAGAGCGAGGACCTCACCTCCATAGTGGTGAGACGATCCGACGACGGTCTTAAAAACCCAACGGGGCTGTTAGAACCAAACTTGTACGTAACTCGTACGTGTCCCGCGTCCCTCCTTTACCAGGAGCTGGAGTGGCTGCTGGAGATCAACAGACTAACCCACCGGCTCCTGTGCAAGCACATGACCCTGGACAGCTTCGACGCCATGTTCCGCGAGGCCAACCACAATGTCTCCGCCCCCTACGGGCGAATCACGCTGCACGTCTTCTGGGAGCTGAACTTCGATTTCCTGCCCAACTACTGCTACAACGGATCCACAAACCGGTCAGTTCGCCGGTGGACGGTCTCAGAGAGCTTTGTTGTTTTTTTTTTTTTGTTTCTTGTTTTCGGTATTGAATTTAGTTTTTTTTTCTTTTCAGCTTTGTACGTACAGCAATTCCCTTCACCCAGGAGCCTCAAAGGGACAAGCCAGCTAATGTGCAGCCTTACTACTTGTACGGGTCCAAGGTATAGTCGCGCTGATGAATTGGCTCTTATATTACAGAGCATATTCCCGAATTAGTGTGTAAAGGAAAGCCGTCTTCCCATTGAGCCAGATTAAAACCGTTTCTGTTTCTCTCGTCTCTTCCTTTCTTCTCAGCCTCTCAACATTGCCTACTCCCACATATACAGCTCTTATAGAAACTTTGTCGGCCCGCCCCACTTCAAGACCATCTGCCGTCTCCTTGGTTACCAAGGCATTGCTGTGGTGATGGAGGAGCTGCTCAAGATTGTCAAGAGCCTGGTATTTATCTTCATTTTCCATCAATGTGTACTTCTCCGGTTTGATGGATTCTTACTGTGTGTAAAAAAAAAAAAAAAAATAGTTTATGCCCTTTCTTCCGTTTGCCTGCTGTGTTGTATTTATCTTCTGTGTCACTTTGCAGTTACAGGGCACCATCCTGCAGTACGTGAAAACCCTGATCGAAGTCATGCCCAAGATCTGCCGCCTGCCGCGCCACGAGTACGGCTCTCCAGGTGAGCAGGTGTCCACTCTCCGAGTGGGGTTTAGTCCGTCCAAGACATCCGTTTTCATCCTGTTACATTTTAGAAACATAGGAGCGTGGCGGACACATTGAACAACCATTAATGAGCAATTGGGTCTATTTATTTTTTTGCTACAGTCAGTAATTCCTTCCCACACATTCTAGCTCATTCTAGGCCCCCCCCCCCCCGTTACCAAACACTCCGGAGTTTTGTGCTAATGCTGCCTCTTTGAGTTTAGACAGGACTCTGAGCATTACTGAGATAAAAAGGTGACCTGGAGCCGCAGTTAAACATCTGCAGCACAGATCCAGCAGTAGAAAATGCTGACAAGGTATAAACCACTACCACGACAAACAGCCGGCCTTGTGAAGCAGGGAGGAGGGCTGTAAAGTGAGCCGATAGGGGACACAGTCCGGGTAAAATAGCAACTCTGCTACAATGGTAATGACGTTTTGTATAGGTGTTATATTGTTATAGCCGGGAGCTATAAAGTGTGTATTTGTCAAAAGGACTGCTTTAAAAATCAAATCAATCCCACAGGAATGACCTATTTCAAATGGGAAAAGATCACTCGGCTCACCTGCCTCCGTGCACACTGGGCGCTGGGAGTGCAGTTACATGGGATTTCCTTTTATGAGGAGTAATCTGTACATTACTGATGTTCCGTACACTAATTTCTGCGCCTGGCTCACTGCCTGTCGGCAGTTAATGATGTGGGTCAGAACAGACCCGCTGACCTCCCACAGATTCATGCTGGTAGCGATAGATTATCAGTGACATGATGAGGTATTAGCGGACGCTTTCTGCTTGGCTGCTTGCTTTTTTCTTTTTTTTTTCTTTTTTTTTACAGAAATGTCTAATTAACGAAGTAACATGGCTGTTCTATTTCTGCCACTGCAGGTATCTTGGAGTTCTTCCACCATCAGCTCAAGGATATCATTGAATACGCTGAGCTGAAAACCGACGTCTTCCAGAGTTTAAGGGAGGTGGGAAACGCCATCCTCTTCTGCCTGCTCATCGAGCAAGCTCTGGTAAGACGCTTCCTTTAGTTATACATCACTGTATGAAACCCCTGACACTTCCTACCTTCTCTGTTGCTTTAACGTGTTATTTGTGTATTATGAATCCCTGCCATATTAGCTGCCCCTACTTTTTATTCCCCTGCGTTCCCAGTGTCTCAGGGCCCACTGATGTGTAGCTGTCCTGACTGCCATGTTTTTGTGGGTGACCAGTAATCTGGGCGCCTGGAAGTTTCTGCCCATCTTCCGATTCCGTTGGTTCCCGCCCGTAATGAAATGGGAAGGGCAGAAACTGTCAGGCGCCCAGTCCTCGTGGCCCTGAGTATATTTGATCTTTTGATGGGTTCTTTTCTGAAATGCAACTCTATTTTTCATTACACGCTGGAAACAACCACAGGTGGTAAGGATTTAGGTTTTTATTTTGAAATAACAGTCTGAATGTCTATTTCTCTTCTATTTCTTGTTTCTTTAGGCTGCTGTGTTTCTGTTTCTTCTTCTTCTAGCATGCTACTTTAGCATAAACTGTTTCACCTCCAACCAGCCATGGAAGCAAAGAGATCGTTTCGCTGTCCTTTTATTTTGATCAAGAATTAAATCAAAGTATATATTTTTTAACAGAAACAATTAAGACATGTCATTTAATATATATGAAAAAACATCTGGCTTCTGCAGTATTGCATCTTGTATGTCCTTGTCTTCCATGCGACAGTTGATATTCTATTTCTGGTTGGTTGGTTGGTGATACGTTCTTCTGATGCGCTGCACCTCTTCCTCCGTACTCTCTTCTGCTGGGGGCATTTGCTGCTTATCTGCTAAACACTGCTGACACCTTTTAAACTTTTCTTTGACTGACCAGTGTGCATATTGGTTTGCGTTACCTGTGCGTGCGTGTGTGTGTTGTTCATTTTTGTCTCTGCATGGCTTTTTTTTTTCATTCATCACCCTTTTAGATCTTGTTGTCTCGACTAACCAACTGTCACCATGACAACCACCGAGATAATTAAGCATGGCCTGACGTAGCTAGAACAACACTAACACACTGACATTTGACCTGTAAGTGTTTTGGGGTTATTAAGGTGGATGTAGACTTCTGAAGCAGGTTAGAGGGGATGTGTTGACGAACGTATAATCCTGCTGTCACCATGGCTTGATTAACAAAAACACCCTCATGCTGTTTTCTTGTGTCCTTATCTGTATAATAAGCTGACAGTAATCCTTAATGTTATAACTGTAAACATATGAAATAGGCTTCAAACGTTGTTATTCCTTTGATACAACATTTTGAGTCCAGCTTAGAGTCTTCGGGGATGGGTGGGTTCTTTATAAAGCAACATTGCTTTACGGCTGCATGCGCTAAAGGTGTTCTTGAAATTAAAAATGACCTTTTTTAATGCTTTTTTTTGTTTTGTTGTGCTTCAATTTTAGTCTCAGGAGGAAGTGTGCGACCTGCTCCATGCCGCCCCCTTCCAGAACATTCTGCCCCGAGTCTACATTAAAGGTATACAAAGGGGTTGGAAGCGCTAAATACGTGGCAGAAAAAAAGACTCGTCTTTTGGTTTATTTATTTGTCGGTTCTGAACAATCCGTCCTTGTGTGTTGTGTGTCATGCAGAGGGAGAGCGTCTGGAGGTGAGGATGAAAAGGCTGGAAGCCAAGTACGCCCCTCTCCACCTTGTGCCTCTAATCGAGAGGTTGGGAACGCCACAGGTGAGATAAACATGAACGTCTTTAAGAAGGCAGACAGATGGGGAACCAACTACTTATGTGTATTTCGAATAAAACTTGTTTGTCCTCCGTAAAATGTAAATATTAAGGATTAGGAAGTATTAGTAAGTGCCACTGCTTTTCCTGTTACCAGCAAATCGCCATTGCCCGCGAGGGGGACCTGCTGACCAAAGAGCGTCTGTGCTGCGGCCTTTCCATGTTCGAGGTCATCCTAACGCGCATCCGCAGCTTCCTGCAGGACGGCGTGTGGCGCGGCCCTCCTCCCACCAACGGCGTGATGCACGTCGACGAGTGTATGGAGTTTCACCGCCTGTGGAGCGCCATGCAGTTTGTCTACTGCATCCCTGTGGGCACACATGAGTTCACAGCGGAGTAAGTGGCACCTGGCTGGTTTGTGTACAGTGGGAGTGCATTCGTAGTGGCTCAGGCATCCGTTTCAGCTAACTAACGCTACGTACAGTGAGCGCAAAACGAATGGATATAAACGTCTCATCCGTCAGAAGCGAGGGAACCCGTCACAACCATTCAATACATTCTCGGTCGTTACCTCACTCGATGACTTGGGGTCAGCCGCGGTTGCTTTTGAGTGAAATTAAATGTGTCCGTTAGTAGGCATCCAAGGATTGCTAATCAGCCTTACCAAGTTTTCCATTAGCTCCCGGTAGACGATCTCCCGGCATTGCCCTGGTGATCGACCTATTGGCTTCCCCTAGTTTAAGGATTTTAATTAAGTTATTGAAAATGGTAAAAAAAAAAAAAATTGTGTATAAAAAAAAAAAAAAAAAAAAAAGATTGCAAAAGTTTTTAGCCAGAACTTTGGTGGAAAAGTAGACATGTTTAGAAGTAGAAGATGTCAGAATGCTTAAGGGGAACTGTTTCGATGCAGCTTGATGTTCCTTCTGAGCCTTCTGCTTTAGGCAAAGCATTCATCACGCTGTTGCTTACGACACGGCTCCACTTCAGAAAGAGAAAGAAAAAAAGAAGTAAAATGGCAGACATTGTCAACCTGCTCTCCGTCACCATCAGCAGCTGATAAAAACAATAAGGCAGACTTCAGAAGAGATGAGATAATGTTGCCTTTGCTGATTTAAAGTTGTCTTCAATGGGGAAAAACCAACTGAGTTACTTGCTTTGCCTATTAGGCAGTGCTTCGGCGACGGGCTGAACTGGGCCGGCTGTGCCATCATCGTGCTGTTGGGACAGCAGCGTCGCTTTGACCTCTTCGACTTCTGCTACCATCTGCTCAAAGTCCAAAGACAGGACGGCAAGGATGAGATCATCAAAAATGTGGTGGGTACACTCAAACCTTCACCCACTGCATCTACCCCCGCCGCTTAATATCGTCCGACTTATTCCCTTTTTCTGTGGTCATTTTCTCGACAGCCCTTGAAGAAGATGGCAGACCGCATTAGGAAGTACCAGATCCTCAACAATGAGATCTTTGCCATTCTCAACAAGTACATGAAGGCGGTGGAGACGGACAGTTCCACTGTGGAGCATGTTCGCTGTTTCCAGCCTCCTATACACCAATCCCTGGCTACCACCTGTTGAGATAGACCCTACACACACACACACACACACACACACACACGCACACTTAGCTATGATTTGAATGTCTGCCTCTCCCTGGTCTCGTAGTGGTGTAGATTACCACGGCGGCTTCACACTGGCTTTAAGAACCCAAAGACAGATCTTTCCAAACTAGGCCTCTATTTAAAAAATGTCTGTCTTTGATGCCTTGAAGCATTCGACCAGGCCGGAGGTGGAAGTGTATATTCACACCTGTTCTTTTTTTATTTCACTGTCTGTGTGGCTCACTCAGACTCATGCATGCCTCCTTTTATTCCTTCCGCTGCACACCGGCGGATCGGACCACCGATACAAACGCCAAACGAGTATCTCATATTTCAAAACTTGTTTGAAATCTCCACCACTGGGACTCATAAATGCCTTTCAGAATTTTCAATCGAGACTTGAGACAAACGTAAATCTAACAGAGTTTCAATAAAAGTATTGCTAGAAAATAGCTCATTTTTGAAGTTACATAAAGCTCTTTAATATGGTGCTGTTAAATGCTACTTCTGCTACTAATCCGTACAGCGGGCGCCAGTAAAGCCTGTGCTACCATTATGCACCATTATGCGTGTCCTCTGTTACGACCCAAACCTGTCGTGATGCATTGGAAACTCTTCACTCATTTGTATGAAAATCTGGTCATCCTGAAGCATTTCATTACGTATTCACCTGCTTGCTTTTAAAGGAATGAAAGTACATTGTATTCTTGATTTGCTCTTATTTATCCCGACAACTTTTTTTTTTTTTGGCTTGTTCTTGACACATTTTTATTCTGTACAAGTTCCGCTGTAAATTTCACTGTTGAACCAAGTGAAGTGTTGTGTGTTGTAATGCTTTTAATTATTAATATTTTTATTTACACATCCGTGGTATACTTGCGTCTCTACTGGCTGTACACCTCATCAACTTTATTTATTTCTCTTTTGTCCGTCGGATAGATTTTTTTAATATTCTGTACATGATTACAGTGATATTATTTACAATTCTGGAAATACACATTGCATCTGGGTATATGTCTTTGCGTTTTCAAGAGTGAAAAAAACAAAACAAGATCAGAAAATACTTAGGTTGTGTAAAGACAGTGCTGTACTAGATTAACCTGTTCTGAGTGTGAATGGACGATGTTGGTCCAGCAGACCTATGAAATACTCTGCACATAAAGGAAAAAAAACATAAAACATAACTAAAATGTCAGTCATAATTAAAGTGCAGTTTAATAAATATAGTCGGTATTTACTATTGTTGAACTTTTGCTTTAGATTCAGCAGTGTTGTTAAAACATGCTAAATTTGTCCCTATTTTATTTCTTATGACGGAAGGCAAATTAATTATTAACAAGTAACCCTCCTCAAACTGCCCTGTAACCTTTTTATGCTTTGTTTTTAAATGAACAAACTTTCTTTTGTAACTGTCTTTTTAATATATTTATTCAACTCCGACGTATTGTTCATTTAAAGGTTGATCTGGTTGAAATAGAGGTACCGATGTATCATCTCGAAACCTTAGCATGGCAAGTGTAATTTATTGTCATCAATGGCTCCATTTGTGACATGAGGCTTTGTTTATGATATTGTTGTACAAGTGACCATGTTTTGAAGTACAAAAAAAAGTGAAGAAAAAGAATATAACGTGTACAACAATGGTCCTGCAAAGGATTTGAAATGATGTTGTATTTCCATGAAATAAAAAATGTTTAACTGAAAAAAGGAAGTTGTTTTTCTCTTCAAAGGGTTTTTACTTTGCAAGTGGTAAACTTGTTCCTTTTATTTTTGGTTCTTTTAAAATACCTAAAGGCTTGGTTGTCAGCTCCTCAAAAAAAGGTCTCTGATTGTCTTTGCTTTGCTAAATGAAGAGTCGTGACCGCAGCATTTGTGTAATGTTAATGCTTAGATAATTTCCTTTTGGTGCCAGAACAATTCATTTCACGACTAAGAAAAAAATAATAATAAACAAGATTGTAGCCGATTCCTCTTACCCTGGACACATGACCGCTCACCACAGAAACAGTCAGCAGTTGGTCTCATGAATTGTATATATATATTTTTTTTATCTTATTTTACTTTTATCTTATATTGCACCAATTCATCAAGTCAAATCCCTCTGTATGTGGCAATAAATGGCTTCTTATTCTGATTATTTCGACTTTATCCCTTGTTTTACTGGCGGAAATAGGTTTCCATTATATTATAAAAAACATGCTGCTGTGGTATGAAGGTGGCCCGACGTGTGCTGCGGAATAAGCGTCACGGATCTTTCAAAAACTAGTTATTACGCCCTTACAAGTTTTGTAAATGGTATCTCACTTAGGTCCGTGTACGTTTTGATAGTCCCTTTTACCGTAAAACTCAGAAAACGAAAACACTGGTTTTCTCGTTTTTCGTTTAAAATTCAAAACGGTAAAACGGAAGTGGACAGTCGTTTTCTCGTTTTTCGTTTAGAACCAAAAAACGAGTCAAACTCACGTTTTACTCCGTTAATCCCTTTTAGGGTTTTGGCCATAAAACTAAAATACGAAGCGGAGCCGCTAAACCGGAAGTACGTAGATTTTCACAGTAAGAGTCAACGCAATGGAAGCTGAGTATGCTAGAAATCCAATTTCAACAATTAAATTGTCACAATCTAGAGCACACAGAAATACAAATACATATATTCTGCTACTACAAAACAGGTTTATTGTTTAACTGTGTATTGTGTAACTTTTTAATAATTCATGTAAATTACATTGAAGCTATTGAAGTTATGTATAATCGGACTGTACCAGGCCGCAAACTGCACGCGCTGTCTGTCTGCTTACCACCACCCCCCCACACACACATAAACCTAACATAACATAAACTAGAACATGAACATAATAGATAGGGATTTAAATGCATCCAAAGATTGTCCCATAATGCAATGCGCCTACCAGCGCAGCCTAACGCAATCTGTCGCTCCGATCGCTGCAATATAATTTAATCAAGCCAACGTTCATGTAACCTTTAATTAATGATGGACGTTGTGGCTAAAATGTCTGCAGTTGTTTGGTGCGCGCGTGCCGTGTTCTGCCTCATCTGGATAATCTCTCAGGGGATCTCCTCCCGCTCCATGCGGCCTATTGGAGGGACGCCTTTTAAGGCTACTGGGGTCATTGTGGCTCAGGGGGTAGAGCGGGTGCACTGGGAACCGCAAGGTTGGTGGTTTGAGTCCCGGCTGCCCCATTTTCTCAAAATCGAAGTGTCCCTGAGCAAGACACCTAATCCCTAATTGCTCCCCGGGCAAAATGTAAAAGCCATGGGTTTAAAGTGTAATGTAAGTCGCTTTGGATAAAAGCGTCAGCTAAATGACCTGTAATGTACTTGTCCTGCACCATCTCCGCCACTGGCTGCTGTACGCTCCAAACATTCCCCATGCAACTGGTGCTTTTTGAAAACCCGTCTGCCCTTTTCTACTCTGTGTGCAGGTGGCTGAGAACAAGACTAACCGTGACTTTGGAGTGACCCGGATGTACCTGTAGGGATGACAAATACTGGTTTGAGAGATGGCTGGGGCAAAAGTGTGACCCTCAAACAGATCACTTGATGGTTGGCGATGGAGGCCAGTTGCACACCTGCTACAGGGCGCCTGGCTGGAAATGGGTCCGCCTGGCCGGCCGAACTTCACTGACCTCCGCACCGCTGTCAAGCGACATGTAAGATTAGTGGTCTTATCCGTGTTTCTCCAACATCAAATGCGTGGTCCCTGCTGAAAACACTTTCTGTTCTCCAGGCAAGCGGACAGCAACATTAATGTTAGCACGGCGGACCGTTTCTACTCTCTGGTCCGTGATCTGAAGCAGTTACGAGGCCAGCAGGACACAGTCGTTGATGACCTGGTCCCAAGGGAAAAGATGTATGAGGTTGCTCATTATTGAAGGCCATTTTACATTTACTTGTAAGATTTTTCTGTCTGAACATTTTGTGAATATTCTGTTTAACTCCACTGAATATTTTGTTTAAATACAGTATAGGAGTTGTTAGATATCTGCATGTTATAATGTAAAAACGATTTATTTTAATGTGAGAAATAAATATGGTATTTGCAACAACTCATGGTGTTTCTCATAACTATAAATTGTCATTTGAAACAATGCATACTTTTAAGTAAATTAATTAGGAAAGTCATTTTAACTAGAATAAGTAAGTTGAAATAATTAGTTGGACCTAGTTAACACAAAGCATGATAATACATTCTACTTTGTTTAAACTTGTGTTGCTAAGCTGAAAGTACTACTTTAGACAAGTGAACACAATGCATGATAATAAGTTAAGTTTCTTTTAAACATACGTTGCTAAGTTGAATAACCATGTACTATACAGTCATGTGAACTTACAGAGATCAATCCAGAGCTGAGTTAAACACAACATTATGAGTCGTACCAAATTGTAAATCCAATTTGATTCTACTCAAAAGTATAAGGCAGCTTTTGAACTTATGTTTGTATGTTGAAACCCCTTGATGTTTTTACAGTAATGCAGATGTATTTTCATTCATCCATGTACACAGCAATGCGCATTAAAATCAGTTCACTGTTTGACGCAATATAGTTTATAATGTAGGTAATGATATAGCTAAAAATATAGTTCAAAGTGGTATATTGTCACACACTCATTGCTTGCTCTTGGCTCTGATATTTATTTTCCACGTATTGTGTTGCTTGAGTGAACACAGACAGTTCAATGAGAGGCAGAGTAAACATGTTCGTATCTCCACCAGTTGATGGCAGAATACAGTATGTGTATTTAAACCATAGATTTAATTTTATTAAACTGTTTTTTATTTATTTATCTAGGTTATTACAGATGTATTTAATGCAGTTTATTGTATGTGATCTTTATGGTTAATTTGCACCCATTGTTATTGTTATATGTATTTCATGGAAGAAGGAACATGTGTTAATTAAGCAATAAGTAATGACATTTTATGAATAGAGACGTTTGTTTTCATTAATTCTGGTTTATTTGTCACACTTCCATCCAAAATCAAACGGTTAGGCCCAAGAGGTCAAAGGGCCCTAATGATATGAATTAATGTTGGTCAAATGCTGCGGTATAAGGAGAATTATTTGTACGTATGGCTTTATGGCATTCAGACATTTTTGACTATTTTACTTAATATTTTACATTGTTCTCACTAGATAAAGAAATGAATTCATTCTGGTTTCTTCATTGCTACCATGTTACCTTTCATGTGACCCTTAGAGTGATCTCTGGAGCTGTGGATGGATCCCACTGTCATGACTGAGATTCTCCAAAGGAAATTTAGTACAAACATTCTTCATAGACTAAGTCACTGCGATATTGGGCATTACAATGCAATTAATCGCAGTAAGTCATGCAATAAATCGTCTTTCCCTGAGGAAAACATTACACATTGAAAATAGTAGCTGACCTGATTTGGTTTAGTGGTCAAGGCGAACTTACTGCGTTTCCAGCTTACAACCTCAACTCCTAGTTTCTTTAATGGTTTTTCATCTTAGAGCGCTGGCTTTCTTACACATTGAGTAGATAGAGAGCGACATTAGTATTCATCGTCTTTATGCTTCTGATATCTTCGGCTTTGCACTCTGTTATTTAACCAATGGTTCATCGAAAAATGTTGTTAAGACAAACGTTCAGATGCACATATTTAGTTATTGCTTCAGTCAATGATGATTGGTCTTTGTTATATGTCTACTTAACCAATAAAGCCAGCTAGTCAGTGGGAAAGTCTATATTGGCAGTAAAATAAGTTCCTCAAAAACAGGTCAGAAAAACAATCACACTACCACAAAAGATTTTTGCTGAGTTCTTGCTGTTGTCGTTAAGGCCAAATTAGAAAAGTTTCAATGAAAACAGAAGCAGCAGGAAGACTGTGGGAAAAAAAAAACATTTGTGAAAGTCAAAGCGGGAATACCCACAAAAGTTGCAGAATAAAATAACTTTTTAAGGATTAACCTTGAAATTCCTTGAAAAGACACACTCAAGCTAATTAGACATAAAAGTAGGCTGTGTCCTTTTGGGGGAATTATTCAAAGCTTAGCAAAACCGCTTAAATCATCAGCCTTGATTTGTCTGTATTTCCTACTCTCCTTTCTCTTGAGAGTTGGAAGACTTCAGTATAGGTGGGTGGCTGTCTTGGAGAACTGTGCGCTGGATTTTCATTTGTAAAACGCCGTTGACTCAGCTGCATCTTTCTGCTGAGCCGTAGTGAAGCGAGGACAGAAATAAAGGTTGGGGAGGCGTCTCTGCCCTTAATCAGGCACTGATGCTTTGGAACACTGGAGCCAATGAATGGAGAGGATAGAAACACGTACCAGGGGACGAATCACGGAAACTCTGAGTTATCCGTTCCAGATAGAGAGGTAACTGAAACTCTGAGTCAATCACCATGGTAACAGACTCTGTGAACATAACCTGCTCGCTGGCAGGTTTACTATAAAAAACCCAGAGTTTCTACCTGTCTCCTCCCACATGAAGAAAGCTGGTAGACATGGATTGCCCATTCCTACCGAATCCAATTGACATCGAAGCCTTGTGATTCGAAATGATTTACATCGCGAGAGTGTCTTCCGACCCAGATTAGACGTTTTATCATTTCCAGAGGAATTTCTGTTAGAACGCTACCGCTTTACTGGTAACATATGGACGACATTTAATTCCTACAGTTCCACATACAGATTTAACATGGTATTGACTCAAAATCTCACTGT